GTCGCAATCGAGCTATGTCGTTGCTGTGTCATCAGCTATGTGCCATGCACTGCTTGATGTACCAGCCTGCTATGCCGGATACCGCCAACCATGCATCGACCAGGCGCCAGGCGCGAACTGATGGTGGTGGTGGTGAGAAGGAGAGCTCTGTGCCAGAACTTTGCAGCCTAGAGAGCGTGTGTGGGCAGGCGTGTGTTTACCGCCATATTGCCAGGTGTGTCTTTACCACCATATTTATCAACCATAAGTACAGCTGCAGTGGTGTCTTCAAATTCATTCTCCCGAGTCAAGCTCCGTGTGAAGACATCCAAGAAGAAGATTGCCTGATGAGTCCAGCGGGGACGAAACGTACGTCGCAATCGAGCTATGTCGTTGCTGTGTCATCAGCTATGTGCCATGCACTGCTTGATGTACCAGCCTGCTATGCCGGATACCGCCAACCATGCATCGACCAGGCGCCAGGCGCGAACTGATGGTGGTGGTGGTGAGAAGGAGAGCTCTGTGCCAGAACTTTGCAGCCTAGAGAGCGTGTGTGGGCAGGCGTGTGTTTACCGCCATATTGCCAGGTGTGTCTTTACCACCATATTTATCAACCATAAGTACAGCTGCAGTGGTGTCTTCAAATTCATTCTCCCGAGTCAAGCTCCGTGTGAAGACATCCAAGAAGAAGATTGCCTGATGAGTCCAGCGGGGACGAAACGTACGTCGCAATCGAGCTATGTCGTTGCTGTGTCATCAGCTATGTGCCATGCACTGCTTGATGTACCAGCCTGCTATGCCGGATACCGCCAACCATGCATCGACCAGGCGCCAGGCGCGAACTGATGGTGGTGGTGGTGAGAAGGAGAGCTCTGTGCCAGAACTTTGCAGCCTAGAGAGCGTGTGTGGGCAGGCGTGTGTTTACCGCCATATTGCCAGGTGTGTCTTTACCACCATATTTATCAACCATAAGTACAGCTGCAGTGGTGTCTTCAAATTCATTCTCCCGAGTCAAGCTCCGTGTGAAGACATCCAAGAAGAAGATTGCCTGATGAGTCCAGCGGGGACGAAACGTACGTCGCAATCGAGCTATGTCGTTGCTGTGTCATCAGCTATGTGCCATGCACTGCTTGATGTACCAGCCTGCTATGCCGGATACCGCCAACCATGCATCGACCAGGCGCCAGGCGCGAACTGATGGTGGTGGTGGTGAGAAGGAGAGCTCTGTGCCAGAACTTTGCAGCCTAGAGAGCGTGTGTGGGCAGGCGTGTGTTTACCGCCATATTGCCAGGTGTGTCTTTACCACCATATTTATCAACCATAAGTACAGCTGCAGTGGTGTCTTCAAATTCATTCTCCCGAGTCAAGCTCCGTGTGAAGACATCCAAGAAGAAGATTGCCTGATGAGTCCAGCGGGGACGAAACGTACGTCGCAATCGAGCTATGTCGTTGCTGTGTCATCAGCTATGTGCCATGCACTGCTTGATGTACCAGCCTGCTATGCCGGATACCGCCAACCATGCATCGACCAGGCGCCAGGCGCGAACTGATGGTGGTGGTGGTGAGAAGGAGAGCTCTGTGCCAGAACTTTGCAGCCTAGAGAGCGTGTGTGGGCAGGCGTGTGTTTACCGCCATATTGCCAGGTGTGTCTTTACCACCATATTTATCAACCATAAGTACAGCTGCAGTGGTGTCTTCAAATTCATTCTCCCGAGTCAAGCTCCGTGTGAAGACATCCAAGAAGAAGATTGCCTGATGAGTCCAGCGGGGACGAAACGTACGTCGCAATCGAGCTATGTCGTTGCTGTGTCATCAGCTATGTGCCATGCACTGCTTGATGTACCAGCCTGCTATGCCGGATACCGCCAACCATGCATCGACCAGGCGCCAGGCGCGAACTGATGGTGGTGGTGGTGAGAAGGAGAGCTCTGTGCCAGAACTTTGCAACCTAGAGAGCGTGTGTGGGCAGGCGTGTGTTTACCGCCATATTGCCAGGTGTGTCTTTACCACCATATTTATCAACCATAAGTACAGCTGCAGTGGTGTCTTCAAATTCATTCTCCCGAGTCAAGCTCCGTGTGAAGACATCCAAGAAGAAGATTGCCTGATGAGTCCAGCGGGGACGAAACGTACGTCGCAATCGAGCTATGTCGTTGCTGTGTCATCAGCTATGTGCCATGCACTGCTTGATGTACCAGCCTGCTATGCCGGATACCGCCAACCATGCATCGACCAGGCGCCAGGCGCGAACTGATGGTGGTGGTGGTGAGAAGGAGAGCTCTGTGCCAGAACTTTGCAGCCTAGAGAGCGTGTGTGGGCAGGCGTGTGTTTACCGCCATATTGCCAGGTGTGTCTTTACCACCATATTTATCAACCATAAGTACAGCTGCAGTGGTGTCTTCAAATTCATTCTCCCGAGTCAAGCTCCGTGTGAAGACATCCAAGAAGAAGATTGCCTGATGAGTCCAGCGGGGACGAAACGTACGTCGCAATCGAGCTATGTCGTTGCTGTGTCATCAGCTATGTGCCATGCACTGCTTGATGTACCAGCCTGCTATGCCGGATACCGCCAACCATGCATCGACCAGGCGCCAGGCGCGAACTGACGGTGGTGGTGGTGAGAAGGAGAGCTCTGTGCCAGAACTTTGCAGCCTAGAGAGCGTGTGTGGGCAGGCGTGTGTTTACCGCCATATTGCCAGGTGTGTCTTTACCACCATATTTATCAATTATCTTTCTTTACGGAATTGTTGTTGTTGTTCGTTTTGCTACTCTTTCTTTTTCCCTCCCCTTATTTCTATTTATCGCCGTGGTTGGCAATCACCCACTCTCGTAACACTGGCAGGTGTTTCCACCGAGTCTTGAGATGTTGTAATAAATAATGATAGACAAAAGAATTTCGTTCAGAATCAGAACGGAGCTCGTGAGAACTGCGCCACAAAAAAAAGGCAGCTTCTTTTGTATGTAAATCCGCCGTGCTTTGGAGTTTCAGGCCGGTTGAAGCATCTACAGAAAGCTGGGAGTCTCAGCAGTGCGCTAGTGTACATACCAGCGCCGGGGGATGCACATTCATCCAGCAACGATGGAAAAAATGACGTCACATCAAGATTCACTCATGCATGTGACAGGTACTTGACAGCCTGTCACTCTGACGCACTTTACTCTATTTGCGCTGTGATGCCATAAGCACCCTTTTCGCATCTGACGGCTCAAATACTTTCGCTTTTTTTTCGTTATGTGCCCTACAATCGTCGTTTCACGTTATGCTCCGATTCATGCCAACATAAATTATAGGAAATTCATAGAGTCAAATTAGTTCTCATTGTGGTTGTATTGATGCTGTTGTCTCCACAACGTTTGCATACTAACATAATACCACTGAATTTACAACTTAGCCAGTAATTTCGCATTCCACTCTCCATTGCTAATAAAGTTCTTCTTAAGTGTTAATATTATTCATTTAACTGGTTTCAGGGAAAGACACAAACGGGAAAAGTCTGAAGACAAAAATTGACTGTCACCAACAGAACCACCAGAACATTTGTGTCTTTCCCTCAAACCAGTGATTATTGAAAATCGTAAACTTTCAGATCTCCAACTACTTGCAGGAAACACCTTATTCTTTTGGGCTTATCTGTCATGTCTGTTACACAAGAGAGCGATTGGAAGCTTTGATCCAACTCGGAGTTTCACGTATTACTACGATCATCAGGACAGTGGACAGTGAAGCACACCACTTGACTATGTCATGTCTGTTACCAAACTGCGCAAGGGCGGTTTGGTGGCAGAATCTCATCTTTTTTTTCATGGTCCCACTACTCTTCACACCTTGTTTTCAGGCACATTGGGACTTTTTGTGTGTGTGTGTTGCACACTTGCGAGTGTGGGTGTGATTCTGAGAGCGAACATGTGTGAGTGTCAGTGTTGACAAAAGTGTTGAAAAATCAAAAACAAAAGCTGCAAGTTGTAGACAAACGCGTTGAACACATCAGGGAACACTTGTCACACTTTCACGAGGTGTTATCGTTGCAGTTGTTTGGTGTCACACCTCGTGAAAGTGTGACAAGTGTTCCCTGATGTGTTCGACGTGTTTGTCTACAACTTGCAGCTTTTTGTTTTTGAGGTTTTAACTCTTTAACCATTTTATCGCCCATCTTGAAGTGTTGACTTTTTCTTTCTTTTTCTATAATTGTAAAAGAGAAAAGGACATATGGATATAATTGTAAAAGAGAAAAGGACATATGTCCTTTTCTCTTTTACATTTATTTATGGCTCAACATCCGAGTTTTCTATAATTATTATAGTTATGTGTTTTTCCAAATTTCCAACATTCCGTGTACTATCCTGTGGAGAAGGGAAAGAATACGTTTGATAGAAGGAAGTGTCTACTGAATTGCGTGGATTTGCGTCTTTGCTTGCGAAGGTACCGATTGCGAATGTGTTTTTTTCACTGCCTTCATTCTCCAAACTACCGCATGAATTAATGTTGTTGAAGGCAATTTAACGTAGCACCACAAACAGTCGGTTTCGCCTCCATTGATACGAGTACATGTGAACGACAGAAGGTGAGGGAGATGCAGTGTGTGTGTGTGTGTGTGTTTGTATGTGTGTGTGTGTGTGTGTGTGTGTGTGTGTGTGTGTGTGTGTGTGTGTGTGTGTGTGTGTGTGCGTGTGTGTGTGTGTGTGTGTGAGAGAGAGAGATAGAGATAGAGACGGAGGAGAGAGAGATTGAGAGAGAGCGAGGGAAAAGGGATACATAAATACAGAGAGAGGAAAGCAGGACAATACCAGCGGGCGAATGAACCTCAGCACTACGCTGAAGCAAAAGCGAAATAAATTGTACAAAATGAATGGCACCAATCGTATAAAAAATGTGACTCCCGCTTCCTAACTATTCTTTAGTCCGTGATACCAAAGAAACACACTAGCTGGGCACAAACCATAGAAGAGAGCAGAGTTTCTGTGCTTAGTTAGTTATTTTACTACTAAACGTTCGGCGGACATTCCACGTTAAAGTCAAGGTTTTATTTTAGACCACGGCTTAAAGTTGCCTGTGCACGCTGTGCGGATTTTTCGCGACTGGCCGAGGCTGCGGCAGCAGCTGCCAGCTGGTAGGGAGTCAGGGGCTCGTACTCCTTGTCGTCAATCTCCATGACCAGATCTGACTGTACAGGTAGGCTAAGGGCGACCTGGGCTTCTCCCCGCTTATCGACTTGCCCGACGAGCTCTGATTGGTGGCGTTCGATTCCGGATGCCCTGCTCATTCGTGGTCGGTCGAAGCCAGCTGTTCGGGTCACTGTACCGTAGCTACTCATACTTGCCTGGCATTCTACTTCATCATAGCCGACAGTATCGGCGGGAAAGGATGGCTCAACGTTACCCCTGGGTTCCAATGCCTGATCTAGGCCAGTTGCAGCGTGGGCAGCCTGTTTCTTGGATCCCTTCTTCTTCTTCTCGGACGGACTCCTCGGAACCTCGTCTGCCATCACATCGTCGTAGAAGGACTCGGTTTGCGAAATGGCATCCACCGTGAAGGTCTGGTAGCTGTTAGGAGCTAGGTCCTGGGATTGGCTCAGTGTTGTGGTGGGAGAATTGAAGCTAGCCGTGCTTCGGAAGCTGTCGCCACGAGCAATGCTACTGACCGCACCCTTGAGATATCCGGCGACTGTGTCTTGCATACTGTCTGCTACAAACGTACGGGCGCTGTGAACGCTGGCGTTTGAATTCGACTTGGACAGGCCTCTTGATCCAAGCATGCGCTGTTTGACCGGCAGTGTGTGCAAGCCCTGGTGGGTCCCAGCCCTATGGGCCAGGGCCTGTGTGAGATCTGCCACACTGAAACACTGCGGTTGGGATTTGTGCCCACTTGCACCATGTTGCTCAAGGTGTAAGCGCTTGCTAATCTCAGCGGCAGAAGGTTGACTGACGGACATACCAGTGCTGCTGCTAGGCAAAGCGCATCCATGGTCCCGACCGGAAAGCTGCAACTCATCTGCCACGGACCACTGCGAGCCATAAGCGCTCCCAGTGGAATGGGACTGTGCCAGCCTGGGTGGAAGGGGCGACCCGAGCATATGGGCAAGCGCGTCGATGTCCTGTTCCATAACGGACACATCCTCTGGCAAGAACACTGGCAATTGTCCCACCTGTATATGAGGGACTTCCTGGGCGTGCGGGTTACTTGTGCTAGAGCGATCAGATTGTGGCGCTGTGATGTGCTCGTCTGCTAGTTCACTCTTCGGCTGTGCCTGGTTCTGTGTCTGGTCTGCCTCTTCCGCTTTGTTCATTTCATCCAAGTTTCTGCAGTTGACAAGTCACGCATTTGGAAGGAAGAGAACAACACAACTGAAATGGATGCCACGATGCGTACCCCGGTTATACTTTGAGCTAGCATATTTGTTTGAACACAGCCCTCACTACACCTTCAAGCAAGGTATTCAAGAATCGCATCAGTGTTTCAACGAAAGGCTCTACGCGTCGAACTTTCGCCCTACACCTCTTGACTTGCCAGGGCTGTGCCCTTACTTTCAAAGACACAGACACAGAGAGGCACATGGACAAACACACACACACAGTCACACACACACACACACACACACACACACACACACACACACACAGACATACAGACACACACACACACTTGCACTTGCTCACTACCAAATCTGGTTACTCAGGTGTCCCCAGGAGAGGAGACAGTGTGTGGGGGAGAGAGAGAGGAAGGGAGAAAGAGAAAGGGAGAGAAGGAGTGAGAGAGATTCGAAAGGAATATTGGAAACATGGCTCAATTGGATAGTGAACCATCGAAATCCTCTCCCTTTGGGTACATTTTGAAAGGTTCCTACTTAAGGGCTCACAAGCCCTCAGCAAGAAGGGAGGATAAGGTGCAGAAAGCGTATTCAGGTTATCCGCTCCGGGATCCAGCTGCAGTGACCACTGCCTCCAGTGAAGGTAATACTTGCGTGTGTGTGTGTGTGGATTTCATGACCTCAACTAGAACCATTGACTTCAACAAGAGGTAACCTAGCCTAAAACAGTCCATGGTAAATAGGTGTGAGCACTTCAAAGAGAAAGTACTTCTTGAAGCACCCTGAAACCAATAACGTTGACATGTACAACATTACACCTTCAAGTAGCTGAGCCCTTTGGCAACAAATCCAAAAATATCTAGTATTAGTGCACTCCAATTTCAGAAATGTTAGGTGTTCAGTATTAATTTTTCAGAATGATGTCAAAAGAACAGGTTAGGTGAACAGAACATTTAGGTACAGAGTAACAGTTCCCAGTCCCCAGTCTCCTGATGATTGCTTTTCAGCATGAAACTCGTTAGTAGAGACATTTAATCACTTTTTTTGTTCCAACGGATTTTCGTGAGTAACAGTTCCCCATTGGATTATGTGTAATAGTGTTTGTTCGGTGAATAATGTTTTTAGGTGTGCAACAGATGGACCGAAAGTACCCAAAATAAAAGTGCAGCGAAAATTTGTGAAGTTACGGTATCCACACAGCAGAGCAGCCGAGAAGATGCCGTGCGTTTTTTTTTTTTTTTTTTTTTTTTTTTTTTTTTTTTTTTACTATGTTCACATATTAAACCAGCTCGAAAAGAATAAGCGTTGAATATGCATGTGCTGGAACACAGTTTTCCTAGAATCAAGCACACCTGAACCTTTTCAAATACTGCAGGGTATTGCCACCTGTCCACTAACGACCAGCTCAAATGGGTCACTTTTACCGAAAACACACAGCATCTAAAAAGTTCGTCACTCGGGCATCCATTCTCAAATGTACTAGATCTAGACCTTCCTGGAAAGCAGCTGCAACGAGAATAACGACGAGCTAAAGCACAAGTCTCCACAAGGTCGAAGACCAGCTATAAAGCTAAGCGTTTCTATCCCAAAAGTCATGGCTTCGCAACGGAAGTCAAAGAAACTGAACTTCTTTTCGACTCTCTCGTACACACCACAACAACAACAATAGAACTGCAGGGTCGCAGCAACAGCTGCTCCAATTCTTGCACCGCATGTGTATTAATATTACTATGCCACAGGCACACAGCATTTAAACATAATCATGGCAGCCTGGTACACATCACTTTAGCATAACAAAAGGAAAACAACGCAAGACAGCAAGCGATCCAAGCCATGGGACAATGGATACATGAACTTCCGATCGAAATGCGTTCACCACGGCCTAGTGCACTGATTAATGGGAATTGCCGCCAGCGACAATGGTGGAGATGCTGAATAACCCCAAATGGGCCAGTCTAAAAAAAAAAAGCCAATGTGCTACCTTAATACAGAATTATCTGAAATTGGCCCACACACGGAAACATGCTCGCCACATACACGCACTACTGCTTACTCAGCCAATAAATCCATATGCACATACATATCTAGCAATGGCTATCCAATTGGGTGGGCGGGTGGGATTCGCAACTGTACAGCAGCAGTGCAAGAACAAAAAGAACACTGTCTTCAGACCAGCATGCACCTTCATGTGCATGCTGCAACTCCGCACTGTGCAGCCAGTGCGTACCACACTCCCAGCACAGTCCGTGAACTCTGGACTGTGCACTCGCGTTTCGAAAAGAACAGCATTTCTTGTTTACTTCGTTGCTCTCATCCAACAAGAAATGAGACATTTCTTTTCGACTCTCTCGTACACACCACAACAACAACAATAGAACTGCAGGGTCGCAGCAACAGCTGCTCCAAGAAGCACAAAGCATAGCTGGCGGCATATAGACTGCCAAGCAGCGAGACATGCGTTCTGGCTGTTGACTTGACTTGCCTGTAGCACACAGTCGGAGAACAGCATGATCACTTCTGCGCCACTGACTGCCTCCTCCCCCTTAGCTCGATTGCTTGTAGCGTCCGCGCTCGGCTGGCTCTGCCGCAGCACCTTGAGTCATAATTGTAAGCCTGTAGCTTTCACCCTTATCATGCCTGCTGCTCGGGTTAACACCTGTAGTGTCCATGTATGCCTGTAGCACAACTCCGTGCATGACCGTATGCACCACTCGCAACATACACACCACACAGAAACAATGCAAACGGACGCTTAATGTCACATGTAACCATCGACAAAATATTAAATTCAATGTGTGGCCACCCAGACCACGGTGACGAACATGAAAACGAATACAACGATACTTCAACATTGCCTGTCATCATAGCTGTAGTGACATCCTCGGCAAGTGCTCCAATCGCTCTTCTACACCTCTCTCATAACAACGATTACAAAGCGCCTGGAGGCCGCTCGCCCGTGCAACATTACGTGCGTACCTATGGTGTTCTCTAAATTCTGGCTAGCACACTTAACTCATGGACTCACCTCTTTGCGAAGCTAGTGCTCTGGGTGCAACTTCTAGTTGATACATCTGTACGTGTTAACCGGGGAGCTTATAGCTGTATGTGTGCCTATAGCACTTGCCCTACCGCACCTGTAGCATGGAGGCAAACTTCCGCAAGCTCTCATTTCATGCACCGTCAGACATACTCAGGCTCTCCCGCATACAAACACGCGCCAGGTATGCTGTCAGCAATCACAGCCACTAACTGCGCACAATTTCAAAGCAATGATCTCGGACTTCGGCATGCCGTAACCAAACAAATTCCATGGGCATGACCCCTGCAAGAATGTATTCTCATCCTTTGGCAACCACACGCACTCTTTCACAAATCCGTACCACGCAGCTCCGTCATGCAATTTTGGCCACCATGGGGCTGACCGCCACTCTGGTACAACAAGAGTGCCATGGGTTCTGCATGCTAGCAGCATATCGATTGTACGTGAAATAAGGTAGATAGGGGGAACCATCCACACCCTTTCAATGGACCAATCCACTGTGAACGCATCAATCGCAAAGCACTCTGGGTTCCACCACCGGGAGCAGTACTTACTGAGCTGCTTAGTCTTAAAACTGGCAAAACAATCTAGGCTGTAGGGGCCCCATCTCCCCTCCATTTCGCGGAATAATGCAGGGTTCAATTGCCAATCGTCTTGGTCAACAACCTTCGAATAATAATCAGCCAGCTCGTTCTCTTCCCGAGGTACCCATTCTGCCCTAATCCTCACGCTAAAACGCCTGCACAATTTGTGTATTGCCATAGCTTCCTCTTGCAAATGCTCTTTGCGGCTACCGTTTTCGATAATGTGTGCCGCTGCCTGGTTGTCTGTGCGATGTATGCAAGCCTTCCCAGCAATCTTTGGTGCCAATGACTCCAGAACAAGCTTAACAGCCCTAAGCTCACGCCAAGTAGAACTTAGTCTCTTTTCTTTGATTTCACCTGGCCATTCACCCTTCGCAACATGCACACCCAACCTCCCCTCCATGAAACCTCCCCAGCCAGTGTCGCTGGCATCTGACCAACAGATAACTACAACACGTGGGTCCTTCTTCCAGAAAGGCTGGCCATGCAATTTGTCAAAAGATTCTTTCCAGAACTTCAGGTCATCAATTGCCTCCTTTGACCAAACTGTTTGAGCTGCCCATGACTTCCTCAATAGGATCATGTGGTAGAATGCTCTAGTCCTCAGCCTGCAAATCTGGCCCAGGGCCAGCGACATGGACATTATCATTCCAGTCATCCTTGCTACCAGCTTAGCTGATGGTTGCCTGCTACCTGACATTGTGCTGAGCATCGACTTAAGCTTTTTAACACGCTTTTCGGAGGCTCGGATGGCTCCAACGCGTAGGTCAACCACCATACCCAACATCTCTACAACCTGAGAGGGCTCCCAACGGCATTTCTTTTCATTAGCTACAAATCCTGCGTTTTGGAGATCTTTCTTCATTTGATTTGCTACCTTGTGAGCACCTGCTTTGGAAGCATGTCCTCCCGACCCATCGTCCATGTACAGTTGGCAACGTATACCCATTGCCCTCCAACGACGCACTAGCACCCTGGTTACCTTTGTAAAAATGTAAGGGGCGGTTGACAAACCAAACGGCAAGACGCAAAACGTATAGTATGCTGCTTTTCCCTGGGGGGTTACCCAACTGAAACCAAGATACCTCCAGTGGCTTTCTGCTATAGCAATGTGGTGGTAGCCACTCTTCAAGTCGAATGTAACCAAGAAATCGTTCTTCTCATATACATCTGCCACCACCTTCAAATCTTCCAGTTTGAACTTGAATTTAGCCAGGTGTTTGTTGAGGTACCTTAGGTCCAGAATAAGCCTCAGCTTCTTCCCATTATCCACCACTCCCAACGGGCTACACACTGACACTTGGTCTCTGTTAACCTCTTTAATACAACCGCGAGAACGCATATCTGAAATGGCCTCCCCGACAAAATCTGGAAACTCATGTGTACTTTTGTGGTTGTCTGACCACCTGGGCCTTGGCAATCTAACAAACGGCAGCGTGTATCCATTATTGATTACTTCAAGTACTAACTTTGGTGCTCCGATTTCTTCCCAGAACTGCACGTTTTTCTTTAGACTGCCAATGACCACCCTGTCCCGGTCCCCTCCGAACTCCCCATCCACGCTATGCAACATAGAATAGGTTTCAGCATCTAATTCATTGCTTTGAAATGACATATCATAGTCGTCAGCTGCACAGGGTTCAGGCATTTCGCGGCTGGCTAGCTGCTTGCCGGCGGGGACACACGCGAATGTAGTGGCCTGTTTCGCCGCAATGGTGGCATGCAAGTTTGCATTGTGGGCACCCCACCCCTTGGCCGACTGGGACGCAGTGCGGGGGAGAAAGGGCTGCTTGGCTTTTGGCGCAGGGGGGGATTGGATGGCTGCCATTAGCCTTTTCCTTTTCTGCGGGCACCCGACAATCCCCAGCATCTCGCCACCCTCTGCAAACGTTTTGGCTGCCTCGTGCCCGTGTGCATCTGCAATGACCAGCCACTCTTGCCTATCCCGCAACAAGTTCTCACCTTGCTTGGTGGCTCGCCTTGCCCTGTCCACCTTCCTCTTCCCTAGAGCAGCACGCACTTCGCCGAGCTCTTCCAGCACAGCAGCGTTTGTCTCGTACTGTCTCTCGTACGAGGGGTTCTTCCACCACCTCGACGAGGTTGACTGGGGACACGCGGAACGACTTCTCGAGTTTTTGGCCTTTTTTGATTTTTTGCGACGACGGCGAGACTCGGGAGATGACGATGAAGACGGGGATGACGACGGAGACGAACAGGGGGAAGATGAGGATGATGATGAGGATGATGCCGACGACGATGGGGACCGACGACGACGGCGGCTTGACCGTTCCTTGGCCAGCGCCGATTCTAGGGCGCCGATCCTCAACTGCTGCTCCTGCAGTTGGGCGTTCGGTTCGGCTCCACTGTCGGAGCTGCTTACTTCAGGTCTGCTTGCTGAGGCAGGCAAACTACCTCCCCTGGAGGACCTGCTCCGGCCTCTTGGGGTGGAGGATCGTCCACGTCCAGGCATGATCAGACAGATTACACTAAAGAAACGAAGAGAAAAGCACACGCAGCGAAAATTCGCAACTGTACAGCAGCAGTGCAAGAACAAAAAGAACACTGTCTTCAGACCAGCATGCACCTTCATGTGCATGCTGCAACTCCGCACTGTGCAGCCAGTGCGTACCACACTCCCAGCACAGTCCGTGAACTCTGGACTGTGCACTCGCGTTTCGAAAAGAACAGCATTTCTTGTTTACTTCGTTGCTCTCATCCAACAAGAAATGAGACATTTTCACCCGCCATTCCACTGTCCTTGCTCATATTGATCAATTTTTTCTTGTGAACACTCCCGTGAGTCCACTGATCAATCTGAACTACAGTTGTCATGGCACCAACGGTGAAAAATGCTTAAAAAATGGAAATCAAGCGCCCGTGCGCGCCACAAAACAAGTTGTGGCCGTGTAAAGCTGTGAGGCCGTCGAGCGCAATACGTCCGCGGTCCTTTGGCCTATCGCTTCGGCATTTATTGCAATCGGAACCTGAGAGTTTTTTCTTCGATCTAAATACTTGGATTAGCTGAGTTATGATTGTTTGAACAAACACACCTCCTGAAGTTTTTCATCAGTACGCGATTCACAACAAGGACATAAATATACGTCATTAGTGGACCTGCCTCATTCTTAAGGACGTAAATATACGTCCGTAGTGTACCTGCCTCTTTCTCAAGCATATAAATATACGCTCTTAGTTCATGGACATAAATTTCGCAACCCGCACAAGCTTTTGAAACTAAATAGTTGAATTCAACGCTAGTACAACTTCCCCAATGCTCCAGGTTTGTTCCAGGGACATCCCTGGACGAAGCAGAGCATCAGGTTTGTTCCAGGGACATCCCTGGACGAAGCAGAGCATCAAGAGAGACTCGATAAAGCATTCTAATGAAAATATTTCCTGAAGAGATGTGTGTTAAAAACTCCGCAAAATCGAAAAATGGTATATATTTCTAGGCACAGTACGGCAAGATTATACCCAATTACCCGCCAAGGAATGGGTTTTTTCACTCCATACGCATGTGAGAAGGTGTAGAAAAAGTAAAACTGAACAATCTTCGGACCGAGTTTTTCCTATTGAGCTACTTACCAACTAACTAACCATCCACAACCATCGCACTTTTTTACTGCTTACCACCTAGTTATAGTCGTGGATAGTCACTTCATAACTCATTCCCGTTGCTTTTCTTCTAGTATACCAACATATACTAGTACCGTCCTTTTTTTACTGCCATGACTGCCCATGTGGCCCTGGCAGGGCCAAACCCGGAGACATGCTTTCCACCGTGTGTGGTGTATCAGTTTCATTGTGCATATGCATACACATAGTTGAAGTACACGCTTACACGCGTTCACACATGACATGGACATACACTTACACAAACATACACACAGACACAAAGACAAAAACATACTAATACTATACGCACGTAAACATATCTTCACACACACACGCATAGAAACACAGACACACACAAAGAAACCCGCTCACAGACACACCCACGAATAAACGCACACACAAAACCTGGACCATACATTTATCGATTACGCCTGAACGATAAATTCCAAACAAGCCTTATCTGCATCATGATAAAACTACATGCATGCATCAAACCAAAGAAAACTCACTTGGGATTTTGGAATGCGTCTTCAAAGTCTTCCAATTCCATCTTGTAAGCTTCTTCTCTCCGCAAGCGATTCCGTCGCACCATGAATCCGATGAAAGCAAGGACCGCGCAGCCAGCGAAAATCAGCGGCGAGAAAAGAAGCACAAAGCTGTCGTTGTCATCATCACCATTGCCATCACCATTGGCGCCCTTTCTGCGAGAACTTTCAGTGATAAATCGTGCGGACGATTCGGAGGTTGTCAGAGCAGCGAACGAGACATTGGAGTTGTCTCCGTTGGCGCTCTCGTCGTCCAACGTGTCATTCTCATCATGAGGATTCAAGGCCATTGGGACAATAAGCGCAACACTTTGGTTCTTTGCACTATTGGTCTTGTTTATCGGTGCATCACTCTTGATCTCAGGAGGGATACTAGAAACGGGTGCACCGTTAGTGTTGTGTCTGCTGGTACTCTTGTCTACTGATGATTCAGTCTTCTCCTGAGGATTTAAGGCTATTGAATGAAAGACGGCTCCTTGGCTATTTACACTTTTGATCTTCGTCATCGGCGTGTCCCTCTTGTTTTCGGGATTAGACGAACCGCCATATATAGCAGCCGGACCTTCACCTTCAGTCTTGGGACTAGGCATGCGTGTTACAATATAGTTGTGCCTGCTGGTATTTTTGCCACCGGATGTTTCAGTCTTGTCTTGAGGTCTCGAGGCGATTGGAGCATTAGTGCTAACACTTTGGCTCTGTGCACCATTGCCCTTTCCTGTCGGGGTATTCCACTTCTTATCGGGATTAGAGGAACCACTATTTGAAGTAGGCGAACCTTCACCTTGCAGGGTGGTACCAGAAACCGGTTTGGCATTCGAGTTTTTCCCACTGGTACTTTTGTCGTCTGATGCCCCAGTCTCGTCGACAGGACTGGCGGCGATTGCAGCTTTGGTTTTAACATTGTGGCTCTGTGTACCATTGTTCTCTTCTGTCGGTGTATGGCTCTTTGTCTCAGGATCGCTGGGACCGCTATCTGATTCAGCCGAACTGTCCCCTCGTGTAGTAGGTCTGCCAGCAGTGTTTCCTAGATTTTTGCGGGCGGTTGTTGCTGGCGTGGTGGTTGGAATGGTTGTAGGGGGCACTGCAATGAACAGAGAGAACAACAGACAAGACTTGTATGCCTCGATCTATTTCCTTAGCCTATCCTCGATTAACTGCTCCCTCTACATAAAGTAGTCATTACAATCTTCTTGCAGGAGATCCCCTCGACAGGCCCAAAGCCTTTGGGAAATGCTTAAATTTAATAAAATACAAAATACAATACAAGAATAAAAGACGGACAGTTGTCCAGCAGGTACTGGTGCTCCACTAGTTCAAGCCGCTAATCAGCTAGTGCTTCGGACATCTTAACTACAAGGACAAGTACTGCAGCTGGGAGTCATATTCCTGCTATTAAACCCAAAGTTATCCCCGTCTATGTTAGCATCCACTTGGATGGGGAGCCAAGGATGAATTGAGAGAAAAGAGAAAGGACCAAGGAACTACAAGTTACGCTATAATGTCCACTAACACCACCAGTTACTAAACAATCAGCTCATGCGGTACTAATATTGCACGACACTGACCGACGGTGCTGACGTTTTACAACTAACTGCCTAACAACTCTAGCACATCTGAGATGCGCACTCCCACAGCCTTCCAACTTGGAAGGTTCTAAGTTATATGCCAACATAGAAGGGGGAGGTATTGTCCACTGGTCTTGCCAGTATCGTCATCGACATGCATGAACATCCCCCAACGTCCTTCACAGCTGAGACTTTCAGCTCGTTCCTGTCTTGGTTTTGTTCACCTTCCCCTCCTATGTTAACATGTACCTTAGAACCTTCCTAGTTCGGAGGTTGTTGGAGTGCGCATCCAAGATGTGCTAGACGTCCTAGCCAGTTGAAGTAGTAGAATGTCAGTACCGTCAGTTGAAATCTGGTCATACTGACAAACCAGCACCCAGAATCTGTTCCGGTCGAAATAGAAAATGGTGCTTATGAAGCACTGGGAAGGGTTTCTCGCCAACAACTACTTTCAAAACAGCTGCAGACTACGACCTAGATCATGATATCAGCCATGGCAAGCAGTGGTACAATTGTTCTGGCATCAGTGGCTCCATCACGCAAGTTTACAAAGTTTATCACCTGACAATTACAATGCACACATACCCTGGCATTTGTCAATATGTGTGCTGGATGAGCACACTGGATCACTGTATGAATATCCAAAATCACATGTGACAACACCACCTGTTGATATGCTACGGATGTGATCTTGTCCTTGAGATGAACGACGACAAGCTGTGATCGAGGAAAAACAAAACACAGTGACAAAACTAGTTTGATCTCACGTGTAGAAGGCAGTAGGGGTTGATGGAGCATACCATGAAACTTCACTACGACAGCATTCATCCTGGAAAGCAAAATTCAATCAAGTCGCCTAAAGAAGGTTCAGAAGAAAGTAAGGAGTGAACCAGATGGAACACATTGGCCTATATTTGGTTGATAAAGCCTTCTGAAGAAGAGGTTTCGCTTGCACAAACTGTGGACAACTTACGGAATTCGCACACGACGTATAGTGGCGTGTTTAAGTTGAAACTGGTGGACAAGCGGTCCCCTTCTTTCGGTGTGATATAAGCATAACTTCCAGGTGATCCGAACGGAGTATCACCAATCCAGGCTTGATAGAGACCAGTGCGAGGAAAGAGTTCTGATGTGCAGCCATGAGAGTATGCAGCTGCGCTAAGCAGTTTTCCACCCTGACCGTGGCACACTGCCTTGGCCGTTGTGTAATTGAAGTACTTATAGTCATGTGTCCGTTTCAGGACTGCCGAAACCTGAGAGCAATATTGGTAGCCGGTCAGTGCAGCATCTGAATACATACATAAGCAGATGAGATCATTTAGCTACTGCAAATCAGTACAGCAATGTATATACCTACTCCTTGGCAGGCGTGCATACCATTGCACACCTGATCAGGACAATTTTGGGGAACCTTATCAGAATTGACTGATAAACGAGTTTTGATAATGTTTCAGAGTAAATCATGAAAGAGCGAATCTGCTCTAGAAACCTCTTCCTACTGTAAATCGTGTTTTACTTCTTAAAAAGTGTTTAACGGAGAAAGTATTTTTTAGTCGTTTTCATTTCATGCATTTTGTTAGCCTCCCTCCACTTCCTATAATAGATTGCCTATTAAAATTTGTCACATCCACTGTGTGGCACAGTATACCTGTAGATTTTGGCCCTTCAGCCATGGCACTATAAAAGCCTTTCACCGCTTAGGACGTATATTCACGTCCTTGAGAATGTCGCCCGTCCACTATGGACGTATATTTTCGTCCTGAGTGCACATCACATATTGATGACATTTTCAGGAGGCGCGTATGTATGTAGAACTCTCGGCTTTCAGTTGAAACAATTGCAAAAACAATAAGATGAAGGACTGTTGAGTTATAGCACTCGACGGCCACACACCTTCACACGGCCACAACAACTACGGTTGCGCCATATTTTGTTGAAACAGAGTAAATTTTGAACAAAATTCTGACAATATTTGCTAACGATTATCATCGGTAAACGGATCGTTCAACTGAAGAGTAATCAAAAGTCTAAAATCCACCATGGTTTCAGCACTATACTCAGGTGCATGTTATACTGTGAGTCTACCCAATGCAGTAGTCAGCAAGTACTATAGGTCCACAAATTTTCGGCCCATTCACATTTCGGCTTCCCAGGGTTGAAAACCATTTTAGTCCGCATCAGATTTTGGCCTGCACTGCTGTCAAATATTTGTTGACATACAGTACTCAAGCAAATACATCACTATACTTGCTGGCGCCCTTGTCAGGGTACATGTACACATTTGAACTCACCGGCATCACAGAAAGGTACTGAAGTGAGTGTTCCATCAGCTTGGCATTTTGGTGTCGCAATTCCCACGAGCGGGTGGCCATCATTGCACGAAAAGGTTACATTGTGTGTAAATCTGACAGATTCTTTGTTGGCTGCTCCATTAGCAATAACAGGTACATCGCAAATAGCTGAAAGCAAAATGAAAACAAAATGTTGTTGCCAAGAACCCCAAAGAAAAAACAGTCGGGACCTTTCAACACCCATTGTCGCAGAGCATTTCTGTTATAGCTAAGAGAGCAACCAGGGCATTGGACTCATCGGAATGCCGCCCTCAGTGTTTTAGCAGTATACTTTCAAGTGTGATTCCAAATATACACACACCACACACACACACACACACACACACACACACACACAAACACACACACACACACACACACACACACACACACACACACACACACACACACACACACAAACACACCATTCTGTGGTATTTTCCTCAAGGTGGACTAAACACGATCAATTGGTGGCGAATAGAGCAGGAAATTGGGCGGCAGATATTTAATCCAGCACTGTAGAAACCAGCCCCCTCCCGAATCCCGCAGAATTTCCCGAGTGCGAATGAAAACTGACCAACCCTTGACAAGATATGCAGAATCCCCGGACTTGTCTTAAAATCCCTGGATGGAAGTGAAAACGGTCTTCTCCCGCCGAACGTTTGTTTGGCGGGAGAAGACCTTTTTCACTTCCATCCAGGAATTCTAGACTCTGCGTACAGTGCAGTTCGACCCTACCGTGCAGTTCGATCAGTCGGCGTGTGCCTAGCACGTCTCTCAGTGCAGACCATGCAGGCTAGGCTGCTCAGGTCTTGAAACAAAGGGGTTTACCTTCCTCATCAGCTGATGTTACAGGATCTAGGATCTTCGAATCGGGCATTTCGTGAATTAGGCGCTGTAATGATAACAATGCTGTGTATTGTTGATGCTGGGATGAGCAATTCCTTTATTAGCCGGCGCTCATATAACAAAGGCTACATTTTGGCCCTACAATACTTGAGCTGGACAATACTGGCCATACCCATGGCCTGTGGAAAAAAACCTCGCAAACGGGAATTATTTTCCACGTAAAAGGGTAAGTAGGAATAGACTCAGATGGACCCAAGGATTAATTTATAAAAGAAAAAAGGGACCAAGGAAATACGAGTTGCGCTCTAGTGTCCACTAACACCACCAGTTACTACACAATCTACTCATGCGATAACATTGCACGACACTGACAGACGGTACTGACGTTCTACAACTAACTGGCTAACAGCTCTAGCATATCTTGGTTGCTCACGCCAACAACAGCCTTCCAACTTGGAAGGTTCTAAGTTATGGAAATAACATAAGGAGAGGAAGGTGAGCGCAACCAAGATAAGCACGAGCTGAAAGTCTTAACTGTGTAGGACGTTGGCGGATGTTCATGTATGTCGATGACGATGCTGGCAAGACCATTGGACATTGGGTGGGTGGGGGGGGGGGGGGACATCCAAGATGTGCTCGAACTCTTAGCCAGTTAGTTGTAGAACATCAGTAGTGTCGGTCAGTGTCGTGCAATGTAATCGCATGAGCTGATTGGTTAGCAACTGGTGGTGTTAGTGTACATTATAGCGTAACTTGTAGTTCCTTGGTCGTTCTCTTTTTCTTCTATAAAAAGGGGAAGCTTCCATTATTGAAGACTGAAATGGGTTCGCTGTGGTGATGTGAATTCTCTAGGATTGCCAAGAAAGCAGGAAAGGGGTCCAGTATTACACCCTTTTTAATGCACACCAACACAGCTTTGTACTCACGGGCCTCGCAGAAAGCGACTGAAGTGAGGGTTCCATCAGCTTGGCATCTTGCCGTTGAACTTCCCACGAGCACGTGCTCCTCATCGCACGAATAGGTTACACTATGTGTAAATCTGACGGATGTCTTGTCGGCTGTTCCATTAGCAATAGCAGGCACATCGCAGTATACAACTGGACACAAAACAAGAAAGATAGTTTTGTTGTCGGGGCGCAAACTTGCGCAAGGATATGGATCCGTACTAGGCATTTTGATAAAGCCAGCGGGGTGGAAATATCATGACTTTAACCCCTCGCCATTCTTCCCCCTTGTACTTATTGTCCTCATTCAAACATACTTAATTAACGTGGCAAGAATCCAAGTGGAAAACTAGTATCATTTAGCGCAGGTTGGGAGTGGAAATATTATGACTTTATCAGGACAAACGACGGCCGCTAACAACCGGTAAACCCTAAACAGCAATACAAAGTGGCCTGGCATCTGCATCCTCATTACTCTGCTTCGTTAGTATCGTTCAGAGAGGAGAGATAAGTGGCAACATTTTGACCAAATTATTGTATCACCTTACAATTGCTATGTATACATACCCTGGCATTTTCCAATCGACATGCTGGAGGAGCACACTGGTGCACTGTATGAATATCCAGTATCACATGTGACAACACCACCTGTTGATATGCTACGGATGTGATCTTGAACTTGAGCTGAACGATGGCAAGCTGTGATCGAGGAGAAACAAAATGCAGTCCCAAAAAAAGTTTGATCTCACATGTAGAAGGCCGTAGAGGATTGATGGAGTATACTCTGGTATTGCGCTACAAAAGTGTTCACCTTGGAAAGGAAAAAGCAGTCAAAGAAGGTTCAGAAGCAACCAAGGAGTGAACCAGACGCAACAAACCTGCCTATATTTGGTAGACAATGTCTTTGCTGGCGCAAAACTGTGGACTACTTACGGAATTCGCACACGACCTGTAATGGCGTGCCCACTGAACGGCTGGGATGGAGATTCCTTCCTTTCGGTGTGGTATGAGCGCTGATTCCCGGTGATCTGGACGGCAGGGTGTCAATCCAGGCTTGATAGGTGCCATCACCAGGGAAGAGTTCTGATGTACAGCCAGACCTGTAGGCGTCGCGAGAAAGAACCTTACCACCCTGACCCTGGCATATCGCCCTGGCCATTGTAAAGTTGAAGTACTTGGAGTCACGTGTCCGTTTGAGGACTAACGACGCCTGAGGGCAATATCGGTTACCGGTCAGTGTAGCACCTGAACACAGAACAGAACAACAAGGACAATCAAGTTGTGTGTGCCGCTACTTCAAGTTTCATGCTCTTATTATTATTTATTATTATTATTATGAACAGTTTCGCGTACTTGAGGACCAGCCTCTTTCCGCCTCTGTGTTCCTGAGCAATAGAAGGAGAGAGACAAAACTATACTATTATGATGATGACAAGCATGCTTCATGCTCTTGCAATCATATTAATAGATTTAATTAATTGTAACATGGAAAAATGTGAACACAAGTTATGCAATCGAGTACACCAACTACACCCGGTTTTGAACTGTCAGACATGCACAATCTAGCACAGAACTGACTATGAGTATTGAGACATTCCACAGCATGAAAGCCAGCTTGAGCACTGCTCGGTAGCCCTAACCAACGGCCTTCAAACTTTCCTTGAGAGATTTCCTTTGCTCACTCTCTTTGTTCTTAAGATTTAAGGTCAGGAGTATTAGAGGTGTGAGTCAACTCATAGTGGTGTTATAGTAACTCAAACATCCCAAAGTATTGTGTACTTCCTCCGTATACAAGACTTCGTAATTTGTTAAATGTTGCTTTTTCAGTACGACACCGCTCAACTAGCTGCGCCAACGGCTGTCACCGACAACCCACAACCACGTCGAGGTAAGTAATTAGTCAAACTGATCTCGAACAGATTCTCCACGGAAACCATACGTGTGAGGACGTTGTCCATAGGTGCTCATGAGTCAAGTCAAACTAATTCACTTACTCGAAACTGACACAAAATAGAGAAGTGGTGGAGTCGAGTTGGAGTCAAAATATGTATGTGGCTGCATTGGAGTTTGTGGACAATTACAGTGTTTTTTTTTATGAATTATTAATAGTTTATCTGTGAGAGAAATAGGTTCCCCCGGGAAGTGTGAGTTTCGATGTCGGCAGCAAATGTTAAACTGTCGCAGCCTGGATGACGCCTCCACCGTAGCCTAGTGGAATAGCATGGCTGGCAAGAACTGGTGGCCGCCCATTCGAGTTCCAGTGATAACGGCCAGTTTTTCCTTCTAACTTTTCCCGGTTTCGAATGCCTCAAACTTATGCATACTGTCCTTGTAAATCGTGAATTTCTGGAATCTCAAATCCGCATTTTGCTCCGGATATAGCTTGTACTGCCAGGTTGGTGAGAAAGGGGTTCCACATTGTACTCAGGTGTGAATTAAACTCCAGGAAATACGGTACTTGAATTGCTGGCGCAAGTTTCAATGCACATGCACACAGTTGTACTTACTGGCATCGCAGAAAGGTACTGAAGTGAGCGTTCCATCAGCTTGGCAACTTGGCGTCGGATTTCCCACCAGCGGGAGGCCATCATTGCACGAATATGTTACATCGTGTGTAAATCTGACAGACGTCTTGTCGGCTGTTCCATTAGCAATAACAGGTACATCGCAGTATATACCTGTACACAAAATACGAAAGGCATATTTGTTGGCGGGAACAAACTAGCTAACTCATACTGTAATGTAATTTCCATAAAGTACCGCCAGATCGCCGCGTCTCGCAAGAGCGCCCCAACTTGATTTTACAGCCAGGGAAGGGAAAATCGTACGGCAGAGTACAACAACTTTTGAAAGGTGTGAGAACCTCAGGGTTGGTTAACATACGCCAAATCGGCGCCGGGAAGCACCGGCGGTGAGCCAACTCCCGATCCGTCCCGCATACGGTTTTAGTACCAAATCTACTACAAAGCACAATCAAAGCCTAACTTGTAGTTCCTTGGTCCTTTACTCTACATTGTACTTGTCTCATAAGTTGCACAACAGTCAAGCATGTAATCCGAAAAGGACGGGTTGGCATGATGACTTAATTTGCCACCTTGAAGTAACTACAAGATTGGCGAATGGACCTCATCTTTAGCATCAGTTCTGGCTCCCGGCACCGAGTATCACCAGCGCGAACAGTTCACAAACCACTTTTGGTTAAAATTGTACGAGATCTGTGGCCTTGCAGATCGCAAGAGTTGTGCACTGCCCAACCTTGCCCGCGGTCCTTGATTTACAATATGATTTTGCTACGACTGCACTAGTTCACATAGTCGCAATGTGTGTGTACTAAGGTCATAGCAGGTTTTTGTGTGGAGCCCGTGACTCATCAATCGTACAGATTGACTGCACCATGTGCATTATGCGTACAAGTTCATGCTGTATGACCTACAGACAGGAGACCACCTCCACAAAACGACGTGGGGCGCTCTCGTGGTACTTTACGGTACTATTTTCCCGAGTTGCTAAAACATCTTTTTCGACAGACCGGAATTCTGTCTTGGTTGTGTATATTACAATTGGGAATATTGTGGGATATCAGTTCAAAACCGCAGGTTTTCGTAATCTTTTTGGGGAAGGCAATCGAATTTTGCCCTTTCAACTGCAATTTTGTGATATCAACGAGGGAGAATAGTAATACAAAGTCGCCTGGTATCTGCAGTTTCATTACTTTGCTTCGTTAGTAATTTCTCGCAAAGAAAAGGAAGGTAGGACCAGTTCAATTTGAAACTCGGATGTTGAGAAAAATAATAAATGTAGGACGAAAAAAGACATAATATTATGGAGACGCGTTGAGAGTAATTGTTCACCGCTGTAACTATATTCTACATGTATATACAGTCAGAACCAGTTCAAATTTGGCAGCTAGCATTTATTATGTATACATACCCTCGCATTTGCCTAAGAACAAGCTGGATGTGCACGCTCTTGCACTGTACGAGTAGCCAGGGTCACACGTGACAACACCGCTCGCTGATATGCTAACAATGCGATCTTGATCCGGAGCGGAACGATGACAAGCTGTGATCGAGGACAAAATACACCATGGCAAAACTAGTTTCAGATCATGTATAGACAACAGTAGGGGGTTGATGAATCATAACAAGAGTACAAGAAAACCAGAGTGTGGAGCTTGGGGCTTTTCTACTATGGGTGTCTGCCACGGCGGAATTCCGTGTTTACATCATATTTGGTGCAGATCTGAGGTGGGAAATGGCATAGTGCGTACAACTGGGCTGCAGTTGCTGCAGAAAGAGACCTGCTTGAATCCTGCTTGTACGCACTACATCACTAAAATGATGTAATCACGGAATTTCGCGGTGACAGCAACCCATCCGAGCTGCACACTCTGGTTTTCATATACTCTTGATCATTATATTATTATAACAGCATTTTTCTCCTGGAAAGGAAAATGCAGTCAAATTGCCTACAGAAGGCTCAGAAGAAGCTGAGCAGTGACCCAGACTCTGCAAACCTGTCCATATTTGGTAGAGAAAGCCTTTCCTGATGCAAACTGTGGACAAATTACGGAATTCACACACGGCGTGCAATTGCTCTTTCACTGAACTGGCGAGACTGCGCTCTCCTCCGATCTGTGTGGTTTGAGCATCATTTCCCGATGGTCTGAGTGAAATCACGTCGATCCAGGCTTGGCGGCTTCCGGAGAGGAGTTCTGATGTGCAACCGGAATTGTAGGCTGTTGGAGTAAGAAGTTGGCCACCCTGACCCTGGCAAACTGCCTTGGCCGTTGTAAAATTGAAGTACTTGTTTTCGTCCGTTCGTTTTAGTACTGATGACATGCCAGAGCAGTATTGGTAACCTTTCAGCGTAGCATCTGAATATATACACAAACAGATATACACAAAGAGATGAAAGCATTTAACTACTCTAAAATCAATTATATTTTGTCATTTTCAAATCTGGACTTCACGGAGAATTTCAAAGTGTTAGGAAATTAGAGGCCACGTGCCACGCACTGCTCTCTTCTCTCCGAAACTCAACACTTGCAAGCCAGATATAAAAGGAAGAAAAATCATCAGTCACACCGCCGGGACTCGCACCAGGGACCTTGCTATTCACGAGCACTGCTCTAACCAACTGAGCTACAGTATGACTCTTATAATATTTTGTCGTCGTTTTAATTTCGTATAGCTCCCTCCTCTTACTATTAATTAAACGGCTTGCAACAACAATTGTCACATCCACTGTCCGGTACTCCATGCATGCACATAGTAGCTCTTGATCGATGGCACGCTGGACTAAACACGGTCAGTTTGTGGATCACACCACTGTCCTCTAGGGTTTACCGGGTGTTAGCGGTTGCCGTGAGTTCCCTTCGGGAACGGACGAAATAATTTCCTTTTTTTCATTTTACCAGTGTCCAAAAAATAAGAAAATGAGTGGGATACAAATCACAGAGCATCTGTGTGGTGAAACAGCTCTCTGTGATCCGGATAATGTACTGCACTTGCTGGAGTATAGTGCACACTTTAGACTCGGTATTTCAGGCCCCGGATAGCTGGTGCTCAATATGCTTCCACTACGAGAATGCATGCACTTGGGCAAGCGCAGTGCAATGCAGGAGGGGAAGGTGAGCCCAACCCAAAATATGGTGCAATGCATCAAATTTTTGCAAACTTTGTCACGTCTCAACCTTTGCTAGCCATAGTGTGTTCTAGTGTCTACTGCCAGCCACACTGCTAATGCATGATGTACATGAGGTCACATCAGTAGCACATGCATCATACCAAATTTATGATCTCTTTGATAGTTTTCAAGTAGGGCTGAAACGATCGTGGATTTTAACCTATCGATTACTCTTTAGCTTAACGATCGATTTTAAAATCGATTTTTAATCTTTAACGTTAGCACAAAGTGTTAGCAGTGTGTGCAAAAATACTCTATTGCCAAAAGCTAGGCCTTAAATAAAACCAAAAAACTGCGTTAGTGACAGGGTAGCTCCGAAACATGGCAGTAAGGTAATTTAACCTCAGAATATGCACCACGCCCCATGGCACAGGCATACACACAGCGGAAGCGGATTCAAACTTCACAAAACGAGGGTTTTCAGTTCTTTTTGGACTCAAAATCCCTAGTGACTCTAGTCACGGAGTAATCTTTAGCGTACCGATTACTTGGTTCGCGCTATTCCGCCGACGACTTGACACTTGACTGACTCACGACTGCCATCCAGAGAACACGAGAAGTCCATCGAACCTTCGACTCGGCAAACCTGCAAGAAAGCACCACTCCCTGCTCAATACACAGTGTTTCGGGGAATTCACCCCTCATCAGTTGAGCTTGAGTAGGCTGAGGAAGATTGTGCCTGAAGAGCACCACTTATATAGTGCTGTCCAGGCACAAACATCACCAGGGATACAAACTTACAGAGACACTCCGTTTCCAGCGCGACAAACACCTCGTGAACACCAGATAGCAGCGTGAGTCAGTTATCGCTCCTGGACGGTGAGAACAGACGAAGAGGACCCTCGGTCATTCACAACGCTGTCACCTCCAAACCACCTAGTCGCACGCCCGCGCTGGGCACAACAGTACGAAATAGAGGTTGCGACTTCGGCGATGATTTTGTTTAGGAATGGGTTTGCTCCCACACTGGAGCTCGCGCTATTCCGCCGACGACTTGACACTTGACTGACTCACGACTGCCATCCAGAGAACACGAGAAGTCCATCGAACCTTCGACTCGGCAAACCTGCAAGAAAGCACCACTCTCTGCTCAATACACAGTGTTTCGGGGAATTCACCCCTCATCAGTTGAGCTTGAGTAGGCTGAGGAAGATTGTGCCTGAAGAGCACCACTTATATAGTGCTGTCCAGGCACAAACATCACCAGGGATACAAACTTACAGAGACACTCCGTTTCCAGCGCGACAAACACCTCGTGAACACCAGATAGCAGCGTGAGTCAGTTATCGCTCCTGGACGGTGAGAACAGACGAAGAGGACCCTCGGTCATTCACAACGCTGTCACCTCCAAACCACCTAGTCGCACGCCCGCGCTGGGCACAACAGTACGAAATAGAGGTTGCGACTTCGGCGATGATTTTGTTTAGGAATGGGTTTGCTCCCACACTGGAGCTCGCGCTATTCCGCCGACGACTTGACACTTGACTGACTCACGACTGCCATCCAGAGAACACGAGAAGTCCATCGAACCTTCGACTCGGCAAACCTGCAAGAAAGCACCACTCCCTGCTCAATACACAGTGTTTCGGGGAATTCACCCCTCATCAGTTGAGCTTGAGTAGGCTGAGGAAGATTGTGCCTGAAGAGCACCACTTATATAGTGCTGTCCAGGCACAAACATCACCAGGGATACAAACTTACAGAGACACTCCGTTTCCAGCGCGACAAACACCTCGTGAACACCAGATAGCAGCGTGAGTCAGTTATCGCTCCTGGACGGTGAGAACAGACGAAGAGGACCCTCGGTCATTCACAACGCTGTCACCTCCAAACCACCTAGTCGCACGCCCGCGCTGGGCACAACAGTACGAAATAGAGGTTGCGACTTCGGCGATGATTTTGTTTAGGAATGGGTTTGCTCCCACACTGGAGCTCGCGCTATTCCGCCGACGACTTGACACTTGACTGACTCACGACTGCCATCCAGAGAACACGAGAAGTCCATCGAACCTTCGACTCGGCAAACCTGCAAGAAAGCACCACTCCCTGCTCAATACACAGTGTTTCGGGGAATTCACCCCTCATCAGTTGAGCTTGAGTAGGCTGAGGAAGATTGTGCCTGAAGAGCACCACTTATATAGTGCTGTCCAGGCACAAACATCACCAGGGATACAAACTTACAGAGACACTCCGTTTCCAGCGCGACAAACACCCCGTGAACACCAGATAGCAGCGTGAGTCAGTTATCGCTCCTGGACGGTGAGAACAGACGAAGAGGACCCTCGGTCATTCACAACGCTGTCACCTCCAAACCACCTAGTCGCATGCCCGCGCTGGGCACAACAGTACGAAATAGAGGTTGCGACTTCGGCGATGATTTTGTTTAGGAATGGGTTTGCTCCCACACTGGAGCTCGCGCTATTCCGCCGACGACTTGACACTTGACTGACTCACGACTGCCATCCAGAGAACACGAGAAGTCCATCGAACCTTCGACTCGGCAAACCTGCAAGAAAGCACCACTCCCTGCTCAATACACAGTGTTTCGGGGAATTCACCCCTCATCAGTTGAGCTTGAGTAGGCTGAGGAAGATTGTGCCTGAAGAGCACCACTTATATAGTGCTGTCCAGGCACAAACATCACCAGGGATACAAACTTACAGAGACACTCCGTTTCCAGCGCGACAAACACCTCGTGAACACCAGATAGCAGCGTGAGTCAGTTATCGCTCCTGGACGGTGAGAACAGACGAAGAGGACCCTCGGTCATTCACAACGCTGTCACCTCCAAACCACCTAGTCGCACGCCCGCGCTGGGCACAACAGTACGAAATAGAGGTTGCGACTTCGGCGATGATTTTGTTTAGGAATGGGTTTGCTCCCACACTGGAGCTCGCGCTATTCCGCCGACGACTTGACACTTGACTGACTCACGACTGCCATCCAGAGAACACGAGAAGTCCATCGAACCTTCGACTCGGCAAACCTGCAAGAAAGCACCACTCCCTGCTCAATACACAGTGTTTCGGGGAATTCACCCCTCATCAGTTGAGCTTGAGTAGGCTGAGGAAGATTGTGCCTGAAGAGCACCACTTATATAGTGCTGTCCAGGCACAAACATCACCAGGGATACAAACTTACAGAGACACTCCGTTTCCAGCGCGACAAACACCTCGTGAACACCAGATAGCAGCGTGAGTCAGTTATCGCTCCTGGACGGTGAGAACAGACGAAGAGGACCCAAAACAAAATCATCGCCGAAGTCGCAACCTCTATTTCGTACTGTTGTGCCCAGCGCGGGCGTGCGACTAGGTGGTTTGGAGGTGACAGCGTTGTGAATGACCGAGGGTCCTCTTCGTCTGTTCTCACCGTCCAGGAGCGATAACTGACTCACGCTGCTATCTGGTGTTCACGAGGTGTTTGTCGCGCTGGAAACGGAGTGTCTCTGTAAGTTTGTATCCCTGGTGATGTTTGTGCCTGGACAGCACTATATAAGTGGTGCTCTTCAGGCACAATCTTCCTCAGCCTACTCAAGCTCAACTGATGAGGGGTGAATTCCCCGAAACACTGTGTATTGAGCAGGGAGTGGTGCTTTCTTGCAGGTTTGCCGAGTCGAAGGTTCGATGGACTTCTCGTGTTCTCTGGATGGCAGTCGTGAGTCAGTCAAGTGTCAAGTCGTCGGCGGAATAGCGCGAGCTCCAGTGTGGGAGCAAACCCATTCCTAAACAAAATCATCGCCGAAGTCGCAACCTCTATTTCGTACTGTTGTGCCCAGCGCGGGCGTGCGACTAGGTGGTTTGGAGGTGACAGCGTTGTGAATGACCGAGGGTCCTCTTCGTCTGTTCTCACCGTCCAGGAGCGATAACTGACTCACGCTGCTATCTGGTGTTCACGAGGTGTTTGTCGCGCTGGAAACGGAGTGTCTCTGTAAGTTTGTATCCCTGGTGATGTTTGTGCCTGGACAGCACTATATAAGTGGTGCTCTTCAGGCACAATCTTCCTCAGCCTACTCAAGCTCAACTGATGAGGGGTGAATTCCCCGAAACACTGTGTATTGAGCAGGGAGTGGTGCTTTCTTGCAGGTTTGCCGAGTCGAAGGTTCGATGGACTTCTCGTGTTCTCTGGATGGCAGTCGTGAGTCAGTCAAGTGTCAAGTCGTCGGCGGAATAGCGCGAGCTCCAGTGTGGGAGCAAACCCATTCCTAAACAAAATCATCGCCGAAGTCGCAACCTCTATTTCGATTACTTGGTTGATAAAAAAATGTCACAGTTCGCGTGAGACTCGGCCAAAGGCCCAGTTTTCCGCATCCCCAGGAACGCCACCACCCTATTGGATCAAGGCGCAGATGCAGCTCCTAAGCGCTGGGAGGTGAGTAGATCCAACCCACCACAAAGTGGTCAAAGACCGAAATCCCATTCACTGCATCCATGTTTCCCTCGTGCCAGGCCACGAGTTCCCAATTAACTGTGGGTCGCAGCACGGCTGGAAAAAATCCTTCCGCTTCCAAGCAGGACTTGAACCTGGTACCCTCTGTTTCTCAATCATGGTCTTGGACCATCCCACTATGCCTGCCTGCATTGGTTGATAAGGAATTATCAATTGCTTACCGAGTAATTGGTATAATCGTTTCAGGCCGATAATGTTTTGATGAATTCTGACAATGGTCACAGTGTGGTAGACTAAGACCTGGTTTAAGCGACCACCCTTCGGTGCAAGCAAAAGTGGCCGTTAACGCCAGGTGGTCTTTAGAACCAGGTCCCACAGTGTCTGTGTAGAACTGTCCGTGCATGGAAAAACGGTTGTTAAGAGCAGGTGCTCGCTAAACACAGAGGTCGCTTACACCAGGTTCTACTGTACTGTCTTTATGATCGAAGATGCTTCAAACTGAAGGCTAGGCATTCTACTTTAGATAGACCTTGTAGTTGTTATTACTGATTTACACAGGTACACAGTCGAAAAAGGTCTGTTGGCTACAAATTCTTCCAAAAGTAATAATAAAATCCAATTTTTCTTTAATTCCTGAAGACGGGCCTGGCCCGAAAATTTTGATTTTCATATTTTTGGAAGAATTTGTAGCCAAGGGACCGTTTTTGGGTAGTGGTGTATAACTGTGTGAAACATGAACTGTGGCTACAGTGCGGTCTGCATAACCTTAGAAAGGTGCTAACTGAGATACTTTCTAACAATATCGAGATTGCTTTTGTTGGCCCTTCTGCCTGGATTTCATTGACAGGTGTGGTAAGACCATGGATCCTTCAATGAGTGACATGCAAACTGTAACTAGTATTATTGAAACCTTGCAAAGCAAAAAGGTTGGTCGTTAAAAAAGGGCAACCAAATTACACTCAGATGTGCGTTATAGTCCTCACAAATACTATACATTCTTCTCAGGCAGGCTTTTTCATGGTGCACACACACGCACGCACGCACGCACGCATGCACGCGCACACATACGCATGCACGCACACACACACAGAGTTTTACTCACTGGCATCGCAGTAAGGTACTGAACTGAGTTTTCCATCAGCTTCGCAACTTGGCGTCGGATTTCCCACCAGCGGGAGGCCACCATCGCATGAGTAGGGTACATTGTGTTTGAATCTGACGGAAGTCCTGTTGGCTGTTCCATTAGCAATAGCAGGGACGTCGCAGTATATAACTGTACACAGAACAATGAACACAGAAGCTGCTGAAATTTCAGAGAGGCCTTTTGCAATGTTTAATCAGGAACTTCGCTGCTTGGTACATGTTGATAGCATTAAAAAATCACCTAAATTTGTCAACACTCCTTTAACCCTTTACCGGCAGCCGGATACTTGAATGCGTCAATGATGATGCAGTAGGCATGCATTCAAAAACATGCCTGGTATAAATGGAAGCATCAGCCTACGAGGATTTCCCCGCGACCCTCGCACAGCCTACGTACCATTCTATCTGTTGCTGAAGAGATCGGCGCGTGTCCCATTTGATTTCAGTAAGAACTGCGCAATGCAAAAGTAACGTGAATACACGTGTGCCGACAATGCCGTTTGCCTCCGTCAAAACTTTGTCAGGTACATTTCCCTTATGCTGTGAGTTCCTTTCATCCTCGGAGGACTTCTCTGACAAGGACCTTGTAGTCCTTCGCTCTGGGACCGATGACATATAGATAATATACTTTGTTTGGGGCGCTAATGTATTAAAGCGAATTTCAAATTACGGAGCATGGCGTACACTAAGTAAATTCTCACACAAATATGGGGAACTTTCAGCCGCTAAAGACGATGTCGTTGTGATGTACCTGGAAGAATCTGATGGAGCTTATGGTGGGGAAGGCATGGACAGTGATCCCCGTGTCGGCATTCTCCTAAAGACGGGACTTCAGGCAATCGACTTTCTATGTACTTGTGGGATGGCAGCGCAGTGTGGCATGTGCACAACCCTACTCAGCCATCGGACAGCGATTCTGGGACGATGCTGCTCTCAATTGTGAGCGAGGCATGGCCAGTGAAGTCTGCAACGGCGATTGCATTTGTTTCCTCTCCGGTGTCGACTTGCTTTGGCAGTATCATGTCAATGTCGGAACTCTGACGATTTGCATTTGTACAAATTCCATGTTTAGACGTATAATTGCCAATTTAGCAGCATAAGTGTATGGTATGAGGAAATATATTTTTCCATGGTCAAGAAGTAGTACCAGACTTCCAAGAAAAACATAACTTGCACAACACAACATGAGGCCTAGTTGTGAGTTATCAGTTCTCAATTGAATGTTATGAATTACATACACAAAATGCACTCGCCGATAAAGGGTTAAATACTACCTAACCCCAGTACTAATCCTTTTCCATCTAATACGATAGTGTTTTCTTCTTTTTTGACCTCCAAACCATGGGTCGCTATGACATTTCATCGCGAATTCGTGCAGATTCAGAATAGGCCAAAACATTGTAGTGCTTGCTAAAATTAGACGTTCCACAGGAGCACCAGTTCAACAAAATTTAGCACGTAACAATTGGTATTGAATACATACCCTCGCAGTTGCCATTTAAGGAGTTTGGTGAGGAGAGTGACACATTGTATGCGTATCCAGGATCACAGATGACATCACAGCTCGGTGTGATGTCACGGATGTGATCCTTGCCTTGTGGTGAACCATTACAAGCTGTGATCGAGACCAAAAAAAAAAAACCCAGAGGCAAAACCAGTTTGATCTCACGTGTAGAAGGCAGCAGGGGGTTTATGGAGGATACCATGAAACTCCGCAAAACAGCAGCATTCATCGTGGAAAGGAAAATGCAGTTAAGTTGCATAAGGAAGGTTCAGAAGAAACCAAGGAGTGAACCAGACGCACCACACCTGCCTATATTTGGCAGACAAAGCCTTTGCCGGCTGTGCACAACTTACAGAACTGGCACACAACGTATAATGGCGTATCCAATGAACTGGTGGGATAACGTTCTCCTCCAATCCGTGTGGTATGAGCATAATCCCCAGCTGATCTGAATACAATCTTGTCAAGCCAGGCTCGATAGGTACCATCGAGCAGTTCTGATGCACAGTGAGAGTTGTATGTTTCTGGAGTAAGAAGCGTTCCGCCCTGACCGTGGCATACAGCCCTGGCCGTTGTAAAATTGAAGTACTTGTCGTGTGTCCGTTTCAGGACTGCCGAAACCCGAGAGCAATATTGATAGCCGGTCAGTGCAGCTCCTGAATATATACATAAACAAATGAAATCATTTATGTTCTGTGATTCGATTAAATTTTGTAGTTGTTTTAACCCTTTGACTGCTGCTTGGAAGTGCACCAGGACTCTAAGGACCAGCAAAACGTGTCATTAACACACCACATGCGGATGCGGAAAACTCGGCTTTCAGCCGAGTCTCACGCGAACCGTGAAATTTATTTTTTATTATGCAATTTTAAAGGTCTTGAGCTGCCTGGTAAGCTAGTGCAACAAAGAAACGATGCACTGCATCTACCGAGCTCACTTTTATTTGAACATGCCCGCAATTCTACTACTTGATTTGAACAGAAGTTGTCATGGCACCAAGTGGCAAAATGCGCAGAAGAAAAGAAAATCAAGTGCCCACACACTGAGCAAAAAGTCTTTTTGGATATGCCTATACGTCGAGCACTACGCACTATCATCTCTGACCAGATCGCTTCGGTGATTGTAGGAGAAAGCTGAGAGTTGTCTCTTCGACCTACATATTTCGATTGTGAGAAACGAATAAGATTTGATGAAGTTACGATCATTTGAACGTAGGCGCGTCACGTCCTATAAATTCTCATCAAATAAGGCGATCACTCAAGGGACCTTGTGCTACAGTTACCAGGTGGTCTCCTTATCCAGGGTCTTTTGACTGGAAAAAGCATCCCTTGATCCTGGTTTCCGTGGTCTTCTAGGACAGGTGGTCGCCATATCCGAGTGGTCACATTGACAGGTTTTAACTATACGCTGTCAACAGCCACAGCCAATGTGCAGTAGTGTATGCAGGTGCTTTCCCAGAAGGCGCTGACAGGTTTTTCACTCCAAGTCGTTGTTTTTGACTGTTTGTCATTTTCCCCTTTAAAAATGTATTTGCCACCCTTGTTGTGCCACATATCACACTCTAATGTCCATCTCGCCAACTTGGATCTATTTTCACACTGTCTTCCTTGCGACAGACGTTGCGACAACGGCAGTGATTCGTGAAGACAGTGTCTGCTCCGTGCGTCGAAGCTCGCGCTTCCTGCAGACTGATTCGACCTTTGACTGACTCACGACTGCGCCTGTAGCACACGAGACGCCCGTCCGGAACCTTCCACTCGGCAAATCTGCAAGAAAGCACCACTCCTGCTCCATAGACAGTGGTTCGGGATTTCACCCCAATCAGTTGAGCTTGAGTAGGCTAATGAATTTTCTGCTTCTTCAGCACTGGACTATGTAGCGCTGTCCAAGCCAAAACATGACCTAGAAACACCAACTAATTCCTTACTATGACGGTCCGCTTCCAGCGCAGCACACGCTTCTCGAGCACCAGGCAGCAGCGTGAGTCAGTGTCGGACAATGCAGTTGTGAGAACAGACATTGACGGCAAATGACCCTCAATGCCAGTTCTCACTGTTCTGGTGGTGACAATCAACTTTTCCAACTCCCTCACCTTTATGAGTGCAGTCTTTATAATCTACAACTTTCTTAAATCGAAAATACGCGCGCATTACACTTCAGATATGCCTTGAATTGCCAGAACATTGGTCTGAAGGGGGAAGGGAGGGGGGGGGTACATTATACTCAGGTGTGTGTTATATTCAAGCAAATACAGTACATCATTATCTGGCGGCTTTTTCACGGTACATGTGCACAGTGGTACTCACTGGCATCACAGAAAGGTACTGAAGTGAGTGCTCCATCAGCTTGGCAAGTTGGTGTCGGATTTCCCACCAGCGCATGGCCTTCATCGCACGAATAGGTTACGTTGTGTGTAAGTTTGACGGATGTCTTGTCAGCTTTTCCATTAGCAATAATAGGTACATTGCAGTATAAAGCTGTAAACAAAACAAGAAAGTTATTTTTTGGCAAAGCGAAACCCACAATAGACCATGGACTCAGCTCAAATGTAAACGCACAGTAAATTATCGTGTCCATTCCCGAAAGGACCTCAAGACAGCTGTTAACACCGGGTATAAACCCAGCGTCAGATGCAGCGCCCAGCGGTGGGGTGAGGGGATAAGGGTCATTTTATTTATCGTCTCAACTTCATGGCACATAATAATACATAGCCGATACAAGAAAGGGAGGGGGAATCCAACCACGGAAAACAGCATTAACAAAAGAAGAAAGGAAGGGAGGTGTCACCATGTGTCAACAGCAGGTAGCACAATACAGTACTAGTTTAGCTGAAATGCATCCTTAAAAGCTGAGAAAGACTGTGAACAACGAATCACCATCAATGGCATAATAAAACCCCGGAATTGAATCGCCGCATCCATGTACCATGTCTGGCCGCGAGTTTCCAGTTGACTGTGGGTAGCAGCATGGCTGAAACAAAACTACTACTCCGAATTCTGGACTTGAACCAGGTACTTGTCGTATACAGAATTTACGAAGATAATGACATATACAGGCCAAGCCATCCTCAAATCAAATCACGACAACAACGACTACGAAGTCGCCTGGCATCTCTGGGCCCGTTACTCGGCGTCGTTAGTATTTTTTTCAAAATGTATAACCACTGATTCACCAGTTCTAAATCTAAGACATCTAATGGGCAATTAACAATAATTATTATCGATCTTTTACACGAAAAAAGCTTCGTTTAATGGAGGGCTTGGAGTTTGTTAAAAAAAATTATTGATAACTAAAACACCTATCAATGTATTTGGTTGTTACATACATTGACTCTTAACTGTCAGGTCAAAGTTAATTTCTTTCAGGTTTGAGCATAAGTACACTTTTTTGATTATTTTGGCTCAATGTCTGAGCTCGAATTTATATCTTAGGTAATCGGTAACCCATTTCCATTAACCACTTGATCTGTAATGCCAATCGGAGTCCAATGAAGGGACTGTAGGGTTGGCGCTAGCAATGGTCATGTATCACGTTTTTGATGGGGTAATAAGGGGGCAAGAACTCAACGAAATATATGTATACGTACAAGTACGCTCGCATCTGGTAGCTAACGTGCTGGATGAGCACACTGGTGCACTGTATGAATATCCGGGATCACATGCGACAATACCGCTCGCTGATATGCTACGGATGTGATCTTGACCTTGAGCTGAACGACGACAAGCTGTGATCGAGGAAAACAAAACACAGTGCCAAAAGTAGCATGAGCTCATGTGTAGACGACAGTAGGGGGTTGATAAAATAACGTGAAATTGTTGCCACCACAGCATTCATCATGGAAATGAAAAAGCACTCAAATTGCCTAAAGAAGTTTCAGAAGAAACAAAGAAGTCAGCCAGGCGCAACAAACCCGCCTATATTTGGTAGACATAGCCTTTGTTTGCACAAACTGTGGACGACTTACGGAATTCGCACACAACGAATAGTTGTTCTTTCCTGTCGCTTTGCCAGAAGGGCTTTACTGCGTCCGTCGTTCTCTTTGTGGTTTCGGCATAACTTAAAAGAGAATTCGTGTCAATCCAGGCGACACGACTGTAGATACCCTGGCTAACAGGAAGCAGTTCTGACGTACAGCCAAGATCATATGTTTCTTGGCTAAGTAGTTTGCCACCCTGACCCTGGCACACTGCCTTGGCCGTTGTATAATTGAAGTACTTGTAGTCATGTGTCCGCTTCAGGACTGCTGAAACCTGAGAGCAATATTGGTAACCAGTTAGTGTAGCTCCTGAATATAAAACAAAAACAGGTGAAAATTCATACTGTAAATAAATTACACAAGAGAGATTGGAAGCTGTGTCAAAACAAAACTAGAGTTTCACGTATTACTACGATCATCAGGCAACGGATGGCTCCAAAACAGGCAGCCAGAACATAAAGGGGAGCAAGGTGGGAAATTCTGAGGGGTATCAAAACGCAAGAGCCAGGTGCAGGCATGACGTTGCCAAGTCTTTAGACTTTAAACTCAGTCTGTAAATAAATTACATTATTGTAGTATTGCAATAAGGAGCACCTGTGCCTTGTCTCGCGTTGGTACAGGGCAATTTCACCCTACTTCTATTGGTGTGGCTTCACTACTTATTTCCTCGTGGAGTATTTCCCCCAGAGAGTGACTCTTTACTCCAGGGAGCCTGCTTCTACTTCCTCCGCGTCATCGAAATTGTCGCAGTTTGACTAGTGACTTGTCACTTGTTACTGACAACTCCCTAAGCTAAGCCATTCAAAACTTATTACACAGTTTGATAGTCTGAAGACTAGAGTAACGTACCAGGACAGTTGGACTGAGAGTTTTCATGCAGAGATGAAGTCCTCATCGTCGCTGATGTCAATGGACGCAAAAATATCGTTCTGAAATATTTCAAGGAAGGTTGAAAGTTGGTCGTGCCTCATCTCAAACGCTTTGACTTTCTCCACAGGACAAGAGCTGCTATGCTTGTCGTCTGCTAGCTCTGGATGATTTCTATTTCACCACCAACGAAGCCTAGTAAGGATACACGATCGTTGCGAGGTCGGTTGATTACCGTCGGCGGAATCACCTCGATCTTGAAATGACCTTTTTTTTAGCCGTGGCATGCCCATTTTATTTTATTTTAGCTGTGTGGTCACAGCTCATGCAGCTACGCAGGTAAGTGTACTATCACGTCCAGCGCGCCCTCTTTTTCAGCATTACTGGTATACCATGGCCCGGTACCGGTACGGCACCTGCGCGTGCATCACTAGCACTACGTGTAGAGTCTACACGGCTCTTGCAGGTACAATCATGTGCTGAGTATCTCAGCCAGAGCGACAAATTTTATCGCTGTTGCAAGCATTTAGTTTGCTGACCCCTCGATGTTTCTCCAAGCGCTGCCACTTGTTCCACGAAGTCTTTCTCACCCCAGCTAAGGTAAAACAGTGATGAGGCTTGAGTGAATGGCCATCAGCATGAGAAATGTGCAGGCTGCAATGCCTGACTGATCTCAGCGAGTCTAAATTACCATCGCAGCGACATCAGCGAAGAAATTGCGTCTAGTTCAAAAATTCCAGCTTTCAATAACAGAAAATAGACCTTTGCCGTCACTCTATACTGATGACTATCGCCTATGTCGAATTCCTTGCCTCTGGTACGAGTGCTGGAGAGTAAATACCCCGTTTTATATCAAAAGTCAAACTGCGACAATTTCGATGACGCGGAGGAAGTACAAGGATTTCCTGATCTCAGAAACCGCCTTTACCAGCAGAGAACTCCTCAGTCCTCCGGCGGAGCGCCTAAGTGAAGTGAAGATATCTGTTGCTGACTAGGAACCGAGCTTCGACAACACATTTTCTGCCGTCATGCCGTACCAGACTCGAAAATTCCGACGTATGAAGACCAATGACCTCTAGCAGACCTGGACGGCAGCCAGCCATGGTGAGGAAATGCTTCTTGGATGTGTTGTGAAATGATGTGTTGTTTTCCTGTGTGATGGCATTCCCTAAACTGTCTCGTCTAGTCGCGTGCATGTGTGATATGACATATGAGCATGCACGGTTTTGTAGTGGAGAGTCCTTTTGTCAGTCTTCTTGTTCGTCCCTTTGAGTGTAGCCTCCATTTCCGTAATGTCAATAATATCATGCAAAACACAAACTAGTCTTGTCCGTTGTGCCCTCCGTCCCGGGGAACGGATTGGCTGTGATTCCGTAACAGACGATCAACATCTTGCTTTCAATGTCACAATGAACTGCAGTGCTGGCAACTGAAATCCGACCCCCTTGGCGGAGCATCGCGCCGCCAAGGGGGTCGGATTTCATTTGCCAGTACTGTACATTTAATTGCAGGCGCCCAGTGAAGCAATAGTTTAGTATACTCGTACTGATGTGGCTGTCAGTGTTTTAACGTCGTCATTTCAACTAGGGCTCCATACATACATACCAATGCTACTCCAGTGTGTTTCCCCTCACGGTGGACTAAACACGGTCAGTTCGCGGATCACGCCACCGGAGAGGAAAATAAGAAAAAAGCGGGTGAAGTGTTAACCTTTTGCACCTGCGCACAAGTATACTCATTTTGTAGCATGCCCTGTTTTCTCAAGCTCGAGTATACTCGGGTAGAAAATCCAAAGTATGTACACTAATGGTGCTTGGAATGAACATTATCTTCAAGGTACACACACACACACACACACACACACTTGTACTCACTGGCATCGCAGAAAGGTACTGAAGTGAGTGTTCCATCTCCTTGGCAACTTGGCGTCGGATTTCCCACAAGCGCGTGACCATCATTGCACGAATAGGTTACATTGTCTGTAAATCGGACGGACGTCTTGTTGACTGCTCCATTGGGAATAGGAGGGACATCGCAGTATAAAGCTGTAAACAAAAGAGATAAAACGCAACGGGGGAACAAACCACCTCAAAGATCATGCACAGAAGCTACTGGAAAATTGCCAATGCCTTTCGTAGTCTTTCATCAGGACCAGGGGCGTGCCTGGCGAGGGGCACAGGGGACAAGTGCACCCCCAAAATATTTCGATGGATTAACTATGAAATGAACAACTAAATAAACAACTCACAATCTCACCTTCCCATCAACTTATCTCTTATTGGCGATGGTGCCATCGTGAGAATAAAGAATTCAAACTGATGGAACAACCATTTAATTTCATGGAACAACTATGAAATGAAATATTATAGAAATGATCCATAAACTTTGTTCTTCGATGGCCATCTGTGAACCTACATCGAATGGTGAATACTGCAGTTAAGCAGAAAGTGAGCTAAGTGGTGAGGATGTGGTTGTTTAGTCTCAAATCCTGATTTTTGAAGTACCATAAAACCTGGTGAAAGTGACCGTTGGTTTTAGGGACCACCTGCTCTGAACGACCGTTTTTCCATGCCCCGACTTTTCTACACAGACACTGTGGGACCTGGTTCTAAAGACCACCTGGCTTTAACGACTGCTTTTGCTTTCACCGTGGAGCGGTCGCTTAAACCCGGTTTTACTGTACTTTTGATGATTCAGCTTTGTTCTGTTTTATGTCATGCTCATCATGATTATCTGTTGCAGATAAACGTTTTAGAAGACGGTGGCTGCTCCAAACGTTGGAGATCGCGCTTCCCGCCGACTGACTGACACTTGACTGACTCATGGCTGCCGGCTGGAGCACGCGAAATTAATGCAGGGCCGTCCACTCGGCAAACCTGGAAGAAAGCGCCACTCCCTGCGCCGTACAAAGTGTTTTGGGAATTCAACTATCGTCAGTAGAGGTTGAGCAGGCTGAAGAAGAGGTAGTGCTCTCCAAGTACAAACATTTTTTGGATATTTGAGTGCTGTAAAGTTGTCCTTCCTAACTATGTTGGATGAGTTCTCCATTCCTTACAGATTGTTTTCCCGATGTCACTTCAGCTCATCCTTCTTGTTGCGGTATTAAAATTGTTTCAACAACAACAGACAACAACAATATTTTGAGGGCTTGGAACTTGGGACTATTCCAAAAATCAACTAGTTACTGTTCTTACGCTTTGCGCAGACGATGGGCCATGGGTCGCTGTAATACCGGTCTGAAAGTCCTTGAATCCAGGCTTGCTCTGTGCCAAGTAACTTGAGAAACGACTGAAAACATTGAGTCCTAGATTTTGGAAGGGCCATCTTTTCATCCTCACATCGTTTCTGAGCAGATCTATGTTCAATGGTTGCTTGGTTCATAGCGTAAAAGTCGTAACGACGGCATTTGTACACCATTAAGCGAGCTGCATGGAGATGAACATGGAGACACAAATTGCACCACAGAAAAGTGTTAGCACAAGGTCGGTGATGGTGCTTTAAGAAATTGGCAGTTTCAAACGTAGGTACGTGCCATTGCTTCGGAATTTCATGCCAAGTGACCAGGTGTGTGCGTTGTCAAGGTTAATGTACTGTTGCAGTTTTCGCCTTCAATAATCAGGCAAACCACATTTACAAAACACATGCTGAAGGCCCAGGGGGAGAGCGAGAGAAACACAGAGAGAGAGAGAGATTGGGAGAGAGAGAGAGTGTGTGTGTGAGAGTGAGAGAGAGAGCGAGTGTGAGAGTGAGAGAGAGAGAGTGTGTGTGTGTGTGAGAGAGAGAGAGAGCTCCAAACCAAGTAATTGCAAGTAGATTATTATTATTATTATTATTATTATTATTATGAAATGACCCAAAGGCAACGTGCCTATCGAGGGGTTCATTTGATTGCAAGAACAGTAGATGTAGATGTATGTACAAAGACAAGTAGGATTGATGAGGAGAGAAATGGGGAAAATCAACTGCAAGGTGGCGGATGGGCCCGTTATCTCTCTCAAATAGTCCTACATATACATCCGAAGGTTTCTGATCGCTGGCTGTGAAACAAATTTTTCCTCAAAATTAATTAAAAACCCTTTCAATCCTTCACACACATACACACACACACACACACACACACACACGCACGCACATGCCCCCCCCCCCCCCCCCCCGCCAACACACACACACGCACATGCACCCCCCCCCCCCCCCACACACACGCACATGCACCCTCCCCCCTCCCCCATACACACACGTATGCTAATCCTTGTATTCTCTCTCGGTGTCCGTTTTCTGGTTCATTTCCATAATTTAATTTAATTTTGTAGTATCACTACTTGATACTGTAGACCGTGTAGTCTGGAGCACCATGCCAAGCTTTTAGCTTTTCTATGTCTATCTAAACGGTGGGAGGTGAGTAGATCAGACCCACCACCAAGTGGTCAAAGACCGAAATCCCATTAGCTGCATCCATGCTGCATCTGCGCCTTTGATCCTAGAGGGTGGTGGCGTTCCCACGGCGGATGCGGAAAACTCGGCTTCCAGCCGAGTCTCACGCGAACCGTGAAATTTATTTATTATGTCTATCTAGAATACAAGAGGCAGAAGAGAGCGAAAACTTTGTTGATACTCCCAAATTTCACACATCAGGTGATCATTAGACAACAGTAATGAAACAAATCTGGATGCTTGTTTTTTGTTGTTGTGCTTTTAGATATGATTGTTCCTCCAAACAGTCAATGTTGGCTTCTCACAAGGAGACGACTTGGAAGAGGAGAGGGCAGAAGGAGAGTGGGGAGGGGGAAAAAACGGGCACGGAAGGGAGATAGAATGGAGAGGATAATGCATGCTGTTGTATATACCCAACGTAATGGTGTGAATGAGAGCAGTGGTGAAAGATGGGAGTGCTGTATTAGCAATATGTCAAGCGTCTTTACTCAAATGAAGCACCCAAACCACGGCTGCCACTAGCCACTGTTTCTTCCGGTTTATTGCACCCACTCTGATTGATAACACATAGTACTGTCTCTCTCTTATTGGCTACGGCCATCATGAGAATAAAGATAATAAGTTATAGGCACTGGAGCTGGTTGTCAGCCACTTGATTTTTGTGACGCCCGTGGATGGTGCCAGGGTTCCAAAGGCAGTACTTATTCTTGGTGTTTCCAGTACAGGAGTCAGGTAATAAGGACCTAGCCTACAACAGCCAATACTGACACTAGAATGGATCAGTCATGGTAAAACAGCCAATACTGATACTCTAATTGCAAAGCCATACTCGAATACCCCTGGTCAACACAGGCAATGACACCACAAGCCCTGTGTTACATATTCACAGCCGGCTCCCTACGGCCTAAGAACCCCGATCTACCCCTCAATCAACTAGTCGCTGCTCTCACGTTTTGCACAGATGACGGTCTGATGAGTTCGATGATGGGTTTGATCGGATCTCCCACTAATTCTTGCCTGACCGCTGTCCGTATCCAACATCCAAGCTTGATTCACGCCAAGTTTCGTGACAAACCAGAAAACACAGTCGTGCGTGGCTGTTAACGGAAGTGACATACCCCGTCCATGACACATTAGTTTGGCTTCTTGAAATGTGTGCCCTATGCTCTCTTGCCTGATATAGAACAGGTCATAATAATTACGACATTCGTGTTTCACATCACTCCAAGTGCGATCTGCAAGCAAAAAACAACAACAAGAAGCACAAAAATTGAACACAACCTGTGTTAGCACAATGTCGGCTCTGGTGCTTTGAGTCCGAACCACGAGTTAACTCGTGTTCAAAACGACCTAAAATCTGAAGCACGAGTTCACTCGTGTGCAACTGTGCCAGTTTGTGTGGTGCATACACATCACTGTTCAAATTGTTGTAACTCCATTGCCTTTTCTTTGATTGCCAAGAATGAGGGCTCATTGGAAAGCTGAGAGAATAAGCATTCCAACAATGCATCGTTTGATATAGCGCAATGAAGAATCACTGAGCGCCGAAGAGGGAAACACGGATATGCTTGCATTTGTTTCAAATTGGATGCGTGGCAAGCACGGCAGTGCTCAAACGGGACTTTCCCTGTGACTCGTGGTGGCATAGCACATGCGCAGTGGAGACCAGATGAATCGCTTGAGCTTCAGGAATCTGCAGGACTTTGAATCACTGTTCCACGTTCAGTAAAACTTCAGAATCAATGAAATTTGTGGATGTGGGTACAGTATCTCGCTCAGGCGCAATACGCCAGCTCTCAAAAGACACAAAGGTGATTATATTGCTCCTGACTCATACTCTCCATCAGTACCAACCTCGTCATCTCCTGAATCATCTTCAATATCATCTTCAGTGTCAACATCTTCCTCAATGCTGCATTGTTTCGTATGGATGAACCTCCGTCACGATAATACCACTGATGATTGTGACATGAATTCAATTTTGGAAAGCTTTGGAAACCTTCACTACTTCTTTGTTGGACAGTGATGAGGGCGGAATGTGCTCTTTTTATTGCCTTTTTAAAACAGTTATCTCCTCATCGATTATTTCAACCCACACTGTCCTTACCTTTAGCGCAGACGATGGACTTTAGATGGCTAGTTGGACTGGGACCATCACTAGTCCTTGCCTGACCATTGTCCACGCCAGAAATCCAAGCTGGAAATACACCAAGTTTCTTGACAAACAGCGACAGACACCCCCTAGTTTCTCTCAGTGGAAGTTTCATATATCGTCGTTCGCATTCAATGCGGGCGTCAACATAGTTGCTTCCGCCTGGCTTTATAACATAGTAGAGGTCGTGATTGTGACATTCATGCAACACAGTGTTCCGGGGGCGCTCTGTGCAGACAATCAGAATATTCAACACACACACACACACACACACACACACGCACACACACACACGCACACACACACACACACACACACACACCTCAGACCTCAGACATGCCCATCGCGGAAGCGATGATAGCGAACAGCTATGTTAGACATAGCAACTTGTGCTGGGATTACACCATTCAACAGCTTGCAAGGCTGATGAATTGACCGCCACTATTTTTAGCCTGGTATCCACCACACAGCTGTTTTAAGTGACTTTTTTCTGGCCAGTGAATCCCTATTTTTCATGTTTTCCATTTTTTTTCTTTTCTTTTTTTCTTTTTTTCTACACACACACACACCACACCACATACTCCGGCATACACTGGCTGTTGGTAACCACCCAGGAGAATGAAAGAAAAGTCAGGAAGAGTCCGAGAAAGAGAAGAAAGACGTGTGCGACCATAATCGTCGGGAATTGAACCCGCAACCTCTCGATTGGAAATCGACTGCACATACCACTGCACCATATGGGACACACACACACACACACACACACACACACACACACACACATTTTGCACATCACATAACACAATAAACATGATGCACGTTGTACAGCTGCACGACGTCCCGTAGAATCTCGTAGAATCCCGTAGACCCGCTTGGGTGTTGAATGTGCAGGACCCTATTGTGTTTACTGCTATTTCCACTATGAAATGGGCCCTGAAGGCATTTCATACGAAAAAAATCTGACAAAGATCTAGCTAGTTTTTAGTTCTGGCCAAAGTGAAGAAGCTTGAGAAGCGACTGCTAACCATGAATTATGAGGCTAACATTGGTCAAATGCGTATGGATAAAACGCAATGAACACCCAACGGGGTCTGTATATAATAAAAAAATATAAAATATAAAAAATATAAAAAACCCGTGCCCGGCGGCAGTTAGTGCTGCCACCCATAGTCCAGTTGGCGCATGTACTTGTGGCCGGGCACGAGGGAAACATGGAGACAGCTTTAATTAATAGGGCGCGTTCAGACACGATAAAATTAATAATGCTCTCCGTTAGTCTCATAGTGTGCGAGCTTGAGTATGGGCTGACATATTTTTGTCGTAGAAAGATCTTTCCAGGTAGCTCAAGATGGTTACAGTTAGCCAAGGTAAAATAAAGAAGATGACGTAATGTTAGATGCCCCTTTTGCTGAACGTTCCCGTAAATTTCATTTTGTGTTTGTTCACTAGAGTACGAGAAGGGCCTTCTTATGATCTTATTAATATTTCCCCTTTTTGACTGAAAAAAGGGGTTTGTCAACTGACATCATCAGAACCTCCTGACGATGGGTGACTGGCCCGAAACGTCAATAATGCTTTTGACATCACTAATAAAAGAATATCCATCCAGCGCATGCGCCAAGAGTGGATAGCAACTATAGAACAGTACAACTTGTTTACAAGCTCCCCCTCCCCCCCCCCCCTCTTTATTTACTGTGCAGTTGCGTGATGTCCACCACTTCTTGACTGGATGTGTGGATTTGCGAGGACGCATACGAGCTTGCAAGCACGAGACTGAATATCATCTTATACACGCACAACAGAGGGGAAAGGCTGTGTTAGCTGTAACTTAAAGTTTCACGCATCGGAGCGATCATCAGACCGCAGCATTCACTATCGAATTCTCTACGAGCAGGCCTAGATGCTAGTGTGGAAGTTAGTGCATATGTGCGAAGTGAAGACGTGGCATTGGGACAATGGTATTGAGTTGTTTTGTGAGAGTTAACGGATATAGGTGAGAATAGAGGCGAAATCAGGGCAGTGTTACCGAGTCAGCAAAGGCGATAGCATTATTATAGTGTTTGTACTGAGTGTGTGCCCCACTACAATTATTTTAAATGGCGTTAAAATCTTACGATATTGATAGCCTGTCTTTAAAAGAGGAAAACGGTCGATTAACCTCGCCTCTTCCTTTGAGTTATATCGATCATAGCTTGTTCTAGTGCTAATGTTCAGGGCTCAAACGAATGCCCAATGAAGTGAACAGATTATCTTTTTTTCCGAACACACCTGAAACGAAGAATATTCCGAATAGTCTAAACCATACAATATCCATGGATACCTAGTTGCATCCATGGTAACCATACACCATCAACTGGTAGCTACGCATAACACAAGACCCCTCTCTCATTCAATATTGGCATTGCTTGCCACGAGATGATGATGCAATAATAATAATAATAAAGAGAAACATTTGAAAAGTTATGAATAGGATGAAGGCCGCAGACATCACGCGACTACGTTACTTGTTTGACATGTATTACTGTGTATTTTATAACAAAAATATTATTGAAAACCCAGAATCGATTTTCTCGTTCCTATCATCAGTGGGAAAAACGGAACTAAGTATACAACCAAAGAAACTGAAGTCTATACACAGTAATTAATGTCAAACAAGTAACGTAGTTGCGTGATGTCTGCGGCCTTCATCCTATTCATAGCTATATTAAAAATATTATCTCCACGTAGGTTATTTGAAAAGTTGTTGTTATTTGGCTTGCTGATGACATCACATGGAGGGAGACAAGCCTACTTATTTTCTCCACCACATAAACCTATTCTATATCAAAAAGGCGAACTACTGCACATTTATGAATATTCTACTTCTGCATAAACGAAGAAAATTCTTTTTTCCGGTCTGCATGTTTCGAATATTCCTTCCAGCAATACGTAATGTTGCACTTACTTATCCAGCAAATCTTCTGACGTCTTTCTCTTTCGGGATGCCATTGCAGATCGTTGGCACGGGCAGGACGGTTAACGTTTTGTTTGAAGATCCAGTATGAGTTGTACGCTGGCATCCAGCGTGTCACAGAATCCAGGCAATAGTGCAGGAAAGGGAACGGTATAATCGAATTAGTCTGCTGTGGACTCTCGCAGACATGTACGGCTTGAGAATAGTTCGTATAGTCATGCGGGCTTTGGGTGTGAAAGAGGCTGAACGTGTCATTTGTCCAGCAACTTCTCTTCTTTTCAAGCTTGGCTAAAGAGAAAAGAAGATTCAACACAAGGAGTGAATCAATGGCAAGCAGATAAACTACCAGAGTACTAACAGGTTTCTACATACAGTTAAACTGGTGTAAGCGACCTCTGGTTTTAGCGACCACCTGCTCTTTTAAAATGACCTTTTTCCATGCACGGACAGTTCTACACACACACACACACACACACACACACACACACACACACACACGCACAAACACACACACACACACACACACGCCCCCCCCCCCCACATACACACACTGTCGGACCTGGTTCTAAAAACCACCTGGCATTAACAACCGCTTTTGCTTACACCGTGACGTGGTCGCTTAAACCAGATTTTACTGCGTCCAAATTAGCGTGCATTTCAACAGCAGGTTTGCTATTGGGCAGATATGCAGCAAAATTACTACAAGTTCACGGACAAGTAACTGTCCCAGCGGATTTTGCATATTAGCACTCTGGTCTGGATTCACAACACGCACCGAGCTGACATGCTTAGGCAATTCCGTCCAAACATGCGAGTACTGAACGAAAAGATCCAGCGATTTCAGGGTGTAAAACCTGTTCCTGGTCTCCTTCATTGCCTAAACTCCTGACCTGGATCTGAATACTCACTTGATGACTTGCACATGATGTAAGCAGTGACCAAGCCAGTCTTTTGTTCATTCGTCCTCATCTTGACAGCTAGTTGAGCAGCTGTGACAGGGTGGAGTACCCAGATGAAACGATCGATGAAGTTCACGTTGTCGGCGAGGATGCTGTTCCGGATTGCTAGAAATTCGTCCAACGTCATCAGTCGTGTTCCCCTGTCCTCGCACGCCATACTAGCCCGATCAACTGTTGTCTGGTCATGGCTATAGTACCAGTGCTGCTCCCCGGCCGTCATCGATGCTACAAGATACACACAAAAGGGAACGGAGGGGAATGTTAGCTCCCGGCTAAACGAAGTTCCAGGACACAGGAGTTTTATAGTATTGAATATGGAATAAGTATTTGACAAGAGCGTAGACAAGAGTGCAAAGGAGAACAGGACAACAACAACAGCTCAAGACTAGATATCCACTGGAGCATGCACACTTCTATATGTGGGTGGCTCTCATTGCCAAGAGGAACGAGCGGGAAATACGAATAGTGAGTACAGTATGTACGTCTTTGTATAAATACACCTATTACAGGAACACATGATTCGTTTTCATGCATGAAAGCGTGCATAAGAGCAAGAAGTGCAACAATCACGCATTCCGCAATTCCTGTAGCTGGTTCTTTTGAACTGGGATGCTGAGCCGATAGTTGAATACAAAAGTAAAATAGGATATGACTATGGGTTACAAGCTAGGAGTAACCGTTCACTACTATAACAAGATAAGTAAGCAGTCAGAAAGTGAGATTACTACAGTACATTCATCGGAAACAGTCCCGCTGGCTTTTGAAGGTCGGATTTGGGCCGAATCGAGGATCAAAAACGCGGTTTGAATCTCAAAAAATCTGGGTTTTGGATCTGCTTCTCCATACATTTTGCCATGGCATACCTGTCCTAATTTTGCAAAATCTGGCTGAATTCCTAATTCCCTGTTCGTGGACTTTTCTGGCCTTAAATGTGGCAAGGAGTAATTGCACGGGTCACACAATGCAGGGTGTACTGTTGTTTTCACGATATCTACAACTATGTGCGGGAGACACCAAAAAGTTAGGGTGCCAGTTTCCAATGAATCGACTGTAAGCACAAAGCTGTTTTGCTGCTGTTGTGCTAGCTCGTTGAATGTCTCGGTAGTCTGTCAGCTTTGAGCTCAGATATCTCACTTTTCTTGCTGCTTATTATATTGCTACGCAGTCAGACCACGCATAACCGCACGCATCCGTTTTCAACAAAATATTCGGATAGACGAGGGGACCGGATAATCGAACACTGGTGAAGTTGAATCATCACACATGCTGTACATCTGTAGCCAGCTATTTTTTTCCGTAGGGTGTGGGTTCCGGATAAAAGAGGACCGGATAAGCGAGGTCTGTTTATTTTATTTATATTGACTGACTTACTGACTCTAGAAGTAGACACTTACTGTTAACTCAAAACCCATGAATCCTTTCTTAGCTGTACATTTCCTTCCTTTCTTTGAAACTCGGGTATCGAGCCAATAATAAATGTAGAAAGGAAAAAGGACATGTGTCAGGACGTGGAATGTCTCACTGCTCTCTCAGTTTTGTGACTAGTTGTTGTACTTTCTGACTGTATATAGTATCTAGTTACAGTGGTGGAGAGTTACGTGTACTCTTAAAACTCGTTTACATTATGTCCTTTTTCCGTTCTACTTCCTTTTTTTCTTCTCTTTTCTTTCTGTGTGCCCTTGTACACTTCCCCAAACACGGGCACATCCCCCGAGTAAGAGATACCGCCCCCCCCCCCCACACTCCCGACAGTCTTCGAACATCTGGGTATTCCAATACAATGGAATACATGTACAATGCAATGCCAATGACTCGCCACTCACTCGTAATGGTGTCCCCTTGACACTCACTAACCCTAACTACAGTTGAACATCGATTATCCGACCACCTCTGGGCAGACAACTGTCAGGCGGTGTTCAGATAAGGCAAATGTTCCGGATAAGAAAAAACTGTCACTCACACACTTTCAGTGGTTATTACTAGCCGCACGACCTTCTTACTTTTTACTTTTCAAAATTTTCGTATTTTTTGAATGGCTCACTACATGCACAGTGCGTACTCTACGGCACGTGCGCCCAAAAAAACTGTAACGGATAATCGAATGGTCGGATAGTCGATGTGCGGATAATCGATGTTCAACTGTATTGAAATTGGTTTAATACAATTATAATATAAACAGATCAAAGATGACCAAAGAGCTACAAGTTACATTATAATAGAGTGGTTCCGCACTACGTAAAGTTGAGCAACTTTACATTAGCGGGCAGGAAAAAAACCATGAATTCGCGAGTTTGCACTGCTGGGGTGTGCCGGGGTGTGCTGGGGTGTGCTGGGTGAAGCCGGTCTACTTTTATGCTACGCAGAACTCCAATAACGATGTGCACATAATTATAAGAAACTTCACTCCTCAAATCCCCACACCAAAAACGGTCTCTTCACTGTCTGTCTGTCTGTCTGGCTGGCTGCCTGTCTCTCCGTCCGTGCGTCCGTGCGTCCGTCCGTCCGTGCGTCTGTCTGTCCGTCTCTCGCTCTCACTCCCTCGCTCTCTTTCTTTCTCTCTCTTGTTCACAGGGCACAGCGGAGGGCACAGCGAACACTCCTTTTTCGTGCTTGTAATCTGATCATTAAACTGAGTCCTTCTAATAGACCAATCCCGAAAGGATTGTCTGGGTTCGTGAAAGGGGGCATGCGTGCAAGCCAGCTGGTGTGAAGTGCATCGTTTTGTATTCAGTTTGTATGTGTCAGCTCATGGCGGAGGAGAGAGAGACTTTTGCTCGCCGAGCTGAAGCTAAAGGATTTGATGGAGTCCTGCCAGCAGCTAGTCAAAGGACCTTCGGTACCTTAGGCAGACCCTGACGGAGTTTGGAGGCCAGCTAGCTCTCGGTCAGGAGCGAAATATTTGCGTGGCGATCGACTCTCAGTAAAAAATACAAGCAAATTAGCGCCGACATACTGCAACAGCTACGATTTCAACTAACTTCTCGATCTGCTGCTTCACAAACTTCAACTATTTACAAGTTCATGACTGTTGTAGTCTGAAGCTGGAGTCTCATCGCCCACCTACATGTAGCTTTTGGAGCTGATGGATTTCCCGACTTGGACTCCTTCCGCAAACTCTCGCAACATTACTACAGTGTATGCTGTGTTTCCGCACGCTCGTGTCGACATGTCATCTATACTGTACATGTACCGGGTCGCGGAGGAGCTTGACGACCTCCGCTGACTCCAGGTTTCCGAAATACTGCCGTCGTCTTTGTTGATGTCGCTGGTGACATTCTCCCCTTGCAGGACGTGCGCATAGTTGCCGTCCCGGGGGTAAAGACTATGTTGTCTTTTAAAACAGTTCTTCATCACGCTCGCGCGAATGATGTTTCTCATCATGAACTCGTTCCGACGGTATGACACAGCGATGGTCTTTGGCGGGGCACTGGCTTGGTGAAAACGCTATCTTCTTGTGCAATATAACATTGATCGGCTGCAGATGAGTACAGTCACTTCGTGGTTGGTCCTATAGGTGAGCACCTGCCCGGAAAGAGGCAGGAGTCATCGAAGACGAAGCGCTCGCAACAAAAAAAATAATAGCACTCGAAATATCTTGTAAGATTTAGGGCCTATTGCTTTGAGCCACAGCGCTCACAGCCTTGCCTACTTCATCAAAGTGAGCTCTACATGTTTGTGGACCTCTTCACACTACACAGAAGAGCGAAACAAGGATTATGTCTTAGCATTTCCACTCCAACAGCAGACCATTACCAGTGCAAGAGAGAAAACTACAAAGGGCTTTGCTTTCTGTCGCATTGTCTCTCTTGCAGGCAACTAACGAGAAAACCGTGTACTTACCATCGCATTCACACGCAAACAAGCGATCAAACACGTCCTGTGCCGCATGCTGATCAGGTAGTGCCATATATGTGTTGTAAAGTGTACTCTCAGTTGGCATGCCCCCTTTCGAACCCAGACAATCTTTTCGGGATTGGGCTACTGTATGCAATGATCAGCAATCTCTAGGTGCGGTCTTTAACCCTTTCACCGCTCAGCACGTATAATTATGTACGTCCTTGAGAATGACATCCGTGCACTAAAGACGTATATTTACGTCCTGAGTGTACATTGCATGCTGATGACAAATTTCCAAACTCACCTAAAATTCCGCAGCGTGGTAGGTTGACGTATTCCCAAACCTCGTCTCCGATAAAGTTGCTTATCACAGTACGGAAGCGTGCCAGGTTGCGGTGAGCGCCGCCTGCACATGGAGGCTTGGTGCATATTTCAACATGCGGCCACTGGCATTTGAATGTCGCCGTCTCCAATTCCACGTGCTGAGACGGAGCTACTTTCCTCAATTGGATTTTCTCTGTCAGGCAGAACGGACGGGAGTATAACAAGCTGAAGACAACCGCGGTCAAACCAACCAGAATCCACACCCGAACATGGTTGCATTCTGTCAGGGATGGAGGGTAGCACCCATGTGCAACGTGAACAGTCTACAGTCAATCCACCAAACCGATAGGTTTCATCTATTCAAATTGTGAAGTCGAGGGCTTATATAGGTCGTAAATACGTTGGCCATGATCTTGGGCCTATACTGCGAAAAACATCGAAGGTCAAGAACCACTTTCTGTCCATTTATTTTAATTCTCAGGGTTGAAGCATCATGAGAGTAAGGCATCAATTGCAAAAAAATGCGTATTGAATCCTCCCCTTGATTTGGGGCCTGTGATTGACACACCCATACGTTCGCATTGATGTCTCGACATATTATGAGAAAAACCTCCTTTTACAAACAGGAGTTTGCTTTCCACTTGTTCTTATGAGGCAGGCTTGCACCAAACTATGACATATAAGTACATTTCAATTATTTTCCTTGAATTCAGGATCACTATAATCACAGACTGTTGAAGCAAATACGCTGGAATCAATTTCGAGTGACGATCATATCTTCGCATATTTCTGTAAACGGGACCAAGGAACTACAATTTGCGCTATTATGTCCACTAACACCATCAGTTACTAAACAATCAGCTCATGCGATAACATTGCACGACACTGGCCGACGGTATTGACGTTCTACAACCTACTGGCTACCAGCTCTAGCACATCTTGGATGGGCACTCCAACAGCCTTAGAACTTGGTTCGGTCAGTGTCGTGCAATGTTATCGCATGAGCTGATTGTTTAGTGACTGGTGGTGTTAGTGGCCATTATAGTGTTACTTGTAGCTTCTTGGTCCTCTTTTTCTTCTTCTATAAATTACATCTTGGCTCTCCATCCGAGTCCATTTCTGTAAACAGTGGGTACACGAGTCCAGTGACCTAGCATCATTTTGACACCGAAGGATGTACCCAGAGTGCTGACAGTGCTCAACACCACAAAGGCCGAGCGTAATACACAACAGAACAACAAGGACAATCAAGGCTTCCTTGCTGCTACTTTAAGTTTCATGCTCACGCAATCATCCGGCAACTTAAAGTAGCAGCAAACAAGCCTTGATTGTCCTTGTTGTTCTGGTGTGCATCATTTTGACATAAAGTTATGATACTGACATGGCGCGATCCAAATAGCAAGAAAACTCAATCATTTTCGAGCCAATTTTGAAAAAATGTAAATTTCAAAGCATTTTGGTACCCCATCGAGTCGGGGTTCAGAATACCAGTTTCGTCTCCTCTCACAGAAGCCTCTACTTTCAACCAGTGTATTTTTTGCTGGTAAATCTACCTTGACATGTTTTGATACTATGGGAATTACTGACATGATTGCAAGAAGCAACAGATGAAGGTTGAAAGCGCTTCATTGCCCTCATTCCAGGCCCGTCTCTTTCTTAGAGAATGCCTTGTTTGGCCTACTTCGAGTGGCCATAACCCCTTCAAAGTGCCCAAATGCGTTCACTAACGTATAGATTTTCTCATTCTGGACACCTCTAGCATTGCAGAAAAATTGTCAAACTGGTGAATTTACGGAAAGGTCCAAGAGGGGAAGGAAAGCCGTGCTCTTCTTCGTTGCGCTTCCCTTCACCTTTTGGACCTTTCCAAACCTGAGCCGTCCAAGTTGGAAGATTATTAGTTTGTGCCTTGGAGAAGCGTTGGAGCTAGGTGTCAGGTCGCCGAATGTCTCAGTACTCCTTGTCAGTTTTGTGCCATTTTGTCGCACTCTCTGACTGTATAAGACCTGGTTATATTGGTGGACAGTTAGTAATAACTCGTAACATTTTATCCTTCTCCTTTTTCACTATAATTTAATTGGCTCACCATCCGAATTGAACAGTAGTAGTAGTATTCTTTTATTTTCCACCGGGAGCCTCAACAGTGATGAACACAGCTTGAATAGATTTTTTTGTGAATTATTTATAGATGCTGGCCTAAATGTGTTTTTGAAATCACACGTCTATATTTTTGACACGCACTGAACAGTGTTATCTAGCAAGACATTGCAAGGGCTGCACATATCTATAAACAGTGCCTCAGGTATGGGAACATTGGGAGAGCAAAGCACCAGTTTCGGGCACCCGTAAAAGTAGCGCATACCTACGAGCGGTGGGCCAAGAAGGCCAGAAAACACGTATAGGAAGTTTGTTCTGACTGCAAGGATTTGGCACAGCAAACACAGACCACAGACAGAACAGTTCACAGCAATGCTCACTGCTTCTCATAATAGTGAGCGGCCTTTATACCTAACACTGGACGAACTCTCAAAGTGGATATTGAGGAATGGCTACAATAGTGAAAACCACCCTTTCGCACTGAACTGGGTAAACATAATCCACGTGCCTGAGGTGCGAAAACATGACCATGGCTTAGCAGAATCTCCATGTGTATCCCTGTGCGATTTTGCCAGTGTTTGCACCATGATCGTTTGTGGCTATTTTGTAAAAAAAAAAGAAAAAAAACCAAGTGTGTGTTACACTCTGTCCAACTAAACTGTTGATAATGTAAATAAAATATAAAATAAATTCGACGGGTTTACGTACCGGGCAGGTCAAGAACAAGGAGTTGTACAACTCCGTGGTCAAGAACCACCTTTCCGCTTCCATGGGACGCCACCACCACCCCATGATAATGTAAATACCTGCTAGTAATAACCAGATGTGAGTTTGGCAAACAGCAGGGCATAGCAAGTAACATTTTGAGAGACCCCTGGGGCATGCACTCTGTCCACTCCGCACTCGCCACACTGCATCACAATGCACCACACGGCGACGTCATCACATCACGGACAGCAGGGCATAGCAAGTAACATTGCGAGAGACCCTGGGGCATGCACTCCGCCCACTCACTCATCACACCGCATCACAACGCACCACACAGCGCCGTCATCACATCACGGGCCGCACTCTTCGTTTTCCCCATACCGTGTAACTTAGCAATGCATGGCTGAGCAACACATGCTCACGACTATCCTGAGAAGCCCGTAGGGCATTCACTCTTGACGTTGCTCCATGGTTTGCCACCTAGATCTCAAGGCGCTCACAGCAAACCCCATGAAGACCAACTCATTCAGATGCCAGCACCATGTACCTCATATACGAATCTGAACAGAGGCATGCAAATCTGCAAACGAGAGAGCTTGGAAGCTCAGGGCCCTACGCTATGCTTTGTTGCCTAGCTCATCGTGCATGTGTTAGAACTGATGAAAATGTTTTTTTCCTTTGATTAGCTACATCATTGTATTACAAGAACGTTGAATGAGTTACTGAAGTAACGTCTTCTGTATAGCTATGGGACCGGCGCTGACTCTGCCGATCACGGGCGTTCTGAAGTCGACGGGATGTCTGTCCTGACGTTTCCTGGGACCGGCGCTGACTCTGCCGATCACGGGCGTTCTGGAGTCGACGGGATGTCTGTCCTGACGTTTCCTGGGACCGGCGCTGACTCTGCCGATCACGGGCGTTGTGGAGTCGACGGGATCTCTCTACCGACGTTTCCTGTGCGAAGTTCCTGGTCCTGTTTCCTGTTCACGCTTTATTTGGAGACGACGGGATCTCTCTTCCAAAGTATGTTTTTGTCTTTATGCTGACGCATCCTATCACCTATTTGGCAACTCACGTCCAGTATAATTGCATTTCCTCCTCGTCTCCTTATTTCTTTCCAAAAAAACTCCCTATACATCAGGGAGTCGTATACATAATACGACGAATATTGTGGCGAGCTGTTTGTGGCCGGCTGTGTTTGATGGTACGGTACGATACGGGACAGATACGAGATGGCGCCAGCAAATATTGTGGCCAACTGTCTGGTTTGTAACCAACTGTGTTTGATGGTACGGTACAGGACAGATACGGGATAGTGCCAGGCGTGACACAAACAAACAAACAAACACCAAATTAAAGCTGTGTGGACCCTGGCTAGCGCCAGACGTTACTGAAGTAACGTCTTCTGCATAGCTACGGGAATAATACTGAATGTGTGCCAACATATTTTCTGTATAGCAACAATAGTGGATCTGAATCCGAGTCAAATTGATCACCACTAGTGCCAGATAACTGTCTAATCCACACAACTGGCGAAGCCTCCCCCCCCCCCCCTGGTCTACATGGCACAGAGGACTTCGGAATAGGAATGCTAAAACGGTGCCTGTACATAATACTGACCCTACACTTGCTGGGGTAACCAGTATAGACAGCACACTGCTTCGATAGAAGCAGACACTAGAAGCACTGGCACCTTGAAGTGAAATTGGAGTTACTCGGCAACTGGGTATTGGGAACCCACCACATGGAGCACATCGGAATAGTACGGCGAAGACAGTTACCAATGCACACCCTGCACTTGTTGGGGTAACCAGTATAGACAGCACGCTGCCTTGATAGAAGCAGACGCTAGATGCAGTGGTGGTACCTTGAAATGAAATTGGAGTTACTTTGCCAATCAGTGTCGGCAACTGAAAATTATCGGGTCCCAAGGTCTGACAAACATACGAACAACCTCAACACCGATAGCTACTATAG